AGCCAGGGGTGCTACACGAATCTAGAAGGATCGCTGCTGAATTTAATCCCAAAGAGGCGACGTTATTCGTGGGTCCCCTTGTCCAGAGAGTATTCAGAATTTCGGGTAAACAAGATGTGGTAGAAATGGAGGGTGAGGGACGTGGAGAGACAGCACAGGAGGGAGGCTCTGGTTTTGCAGGTGGGCAACCCCAGTTCGATTCCTGGCACTACTTAGGGTCCCCCCAGTCCCGTCAAGGCTTACTCCTGAGCACTGTCGGGTTCCCCCCCAAACATACAATAGAATATTCCATCTTGAAAAGTAGGGACACTTGGGGCTGGAGCGATAGCACAGCGGGTAGGGCGTTTGCCTTGCACGTGGCCAACCCAGGTTCGATTCCCAGCATCCCATATGGTCCCCCGGGCACCGCTAGGGGTGATTCCTGAGTGCATGAGCCAGGAGTAACCCCTGTGCATTGCCGGGTGTGACCCAAAAACCAAAAAAAAGAAAAGTGGAAACACTGATCCCCCCTCCCAAGCGGGCAGATCAGGGGGCCGGGAATATCAGGAATGTGAGCCAGACACAACATGACACATTTCTGGGGGATCCCCCCTCCTAAAAGAGACCCTGAAGAGGGACAGGAAGTTGCTGGGGACTGGGGGAGGGGAGGAGTGAAAGGGTGTCCCCAATTTGTGGAGAGAGGAGGAGAAAGTTCTGGCGACAGATGGTGGAGGTTGTACATCGCAAACGTAAATGCCACCGGATTGTTGGCTCCAAAAAACCGTGTCTTTCCTGTTCCTTGAATTTCACCTCGATTTAAAAATGAGCTTGGGCAAAAAAAAAAAAAAGAGGGGGGGCCTGGAGCAATAGCACAGCGGGTAGGGCGTTTGCCTTGCACGCGGCAGACCCGGGTTCAATCCCCAGCATCCCATATGGTCCCCTGAGCACTGCCAGGGGTGATTTCTAAGTGCAGAGCCAGGAGGAACCCCTGAGCATCACCAGGTGTGACCCAAAAGGCAAAAAAAAAAAAAAAGGCTTGGGGACTGGAGGGGGCGGGGCTAGCCCAAGTCAGCCCAGCCCTTGCACTGCACGCATGCGTACAAGACTCTGAGTGGACCCATCAGCATCACATCCCTTGCTCAGCCTCAGCTGTCAGTCAGGCCAGTGTTGCAGGGAGTCCGGAAAGTGATATTCAGCATTCCTAGTTCCCTTGAGTGTGCGCGTGCGCGCACACACACACACACACACACACACACACACACACACACACACACACAGGCCCAGCTCCCACCCAGCTTCTGCTGCCCACAGGCCTCTGCCATCTGTCTGCCTTCTGCTTCTCTGGATTTCTGCTTCCTCTTCTCCCCGCCGCCCCTCCCCTCTTCCTCTCTCCTCAACAACCGAAGAGTCGCTGCTGGTCTCTACGATAAATGCGCTTTCTCCGTTCTAAGATGCAATCCAGAGGGGCGCAGAGAGATGGCTCCCAGGGTTGGAGTGCAGGCTTGACAGGCTGCAGCCCCGAGTTGGATCCACAGGTATGGCAGGGGGTGGTGGCTCCCCAGCACTGTGTGGCCCTACCCCCTCAAAAAAGTAATAACTAGGAGGGCCGAAGAGATAGTACAGTGGGCAGGTCTCTTGACTTGCATGCGACTGACCCAGGTTTGATCCCTGGCATCCCGTATGGTTCCCATCCTATATGGTTACAATCACGATCACCACGATCACGACGATCACGACCATCCTGTTGATCGTCGGTTGCCTCAAGCAGGCCCCAGTAACGTCTCCTTTGTCCTAGCCTTGAGATTTTTTTTAAAAGGGCCTTATTCAAGGCTCTTTCAGGGATAGGAGAATGAGAGCCTTCATTGTTACTGGTGTTTGGCATATTGGGTACGCCACGGGAGTTTGCCAGACTCTGCCGTGTGGGCAGGTTACGTTCGGTAGCCTGCCAGTTTGTCCAAAGTAAGAATGAGATAATAAGATGTCGCGCGGCCACAAATGCGGCCGCGCGCTTGCTTCCGGGAGCTGGGTTTTATAGTCTCTGGGGTCTTGGCCGTTGATGGGATTACACGGCACCAGAGGGCCAGTTGGTGGGTGTGACCCCTGCCTACTGGAATTTGGAGGATCTGGGTGGAGGATGCTCAGCCCCGATCCGAGCAGGCTTGGAGATCTCAGCCCCAGGACCCGCATGCCTTTGTTCCTCTGCCGGTACCTTCATGCCTGTGGAGAGTGGTCTCAGCATGGTGGTGGCTGGTCCTGGAGGTCTTCGGCTGCCGGAGCCCTGGTCGGGGTGGGGAGGGAAACTCAACCCGCTCCCCTCCAAGGGGCCCCCGGCAAGGACAGCCAGGCACGGGGACAGGAGACTCTGGTTACAATGCCAGGAGTAATTCCTGAGTACAGAGTCAGGAGTTATCCCTAAGCATCGCCTGGTATTACCCTAAAAAAATTAAATTAAATAAAGAAATGGAGACTTTCCCCCTGCTACTTGATCACTTGACTTTCTGTCAATCATCGATTTGCTTGAGCGGGCACCAGTAACGTCTCCATTTGTCCCTGTCGCGTGCTAGTGTAGCCTAATGGCATCTGTTTGTTCTAGGAACATGAAGAGCCTCAAACCGATCGTTCAGGGTCTTGATGAAGAAGTCTGACCATCTGGTAGGTGGGCGGCCACATGGTCTTTTGATGTCCCATGGAATCCAGTCGGTAATGGCTCTAGTCCAGTGGTCATCTCCAAATCTCATTATGTGTCCAGCCCATCTGATTTTCGACGCCTTGGCAAATGAGACAGCGTCCCTGATTCTTGATCGTCGACGGATGTCAGAATTCCGGATTCTTTCTCTCATTTGAGTGAAACGTGATATTCCAAGCATAGCTCTTTCAATTCCTCTTTGGGAGACCTGAATAGCGTTCTCATCCTGTTTGCGTAGGGCCCAGGTCTCTGAGGCATATGTCAATGCAGGAAGAACAGTGGAATCAAAGAGATGTGCCCGGAGCCGGAGGTTCTTCGTCCTCTTAGCTATTTCTTCGACGTTCTTGAAGGCGTTCCAAGCTGCTCTCTTCCTCCTGCGCAGCTCGGGTGCCAGGTCATTTGTCATGTTGACCTCTCGACCTAGGTACACATAGCTGTTGCATTCGGAGATGGTCGTTCCATTGAGAGCGAATGGAGCATCAGGAACAGGAACGAGGCTATTTCTCATAAACAGTGTCTTCGTGAGATTCAGCTGTAGTCCGACCTTTCCACACTCACGGTCAAAGTCGGCCAGCATTTGTGCCGCTTGGCTAATGTTTGGTGTTATTTCCCTGCTACAATTCTGTCAATCTGCAACCACTTACATCGTTTGCTCATCTTGGAGTACAGACATTTTCTTTTTAAAATTTTATTTATATTTATTTGTTTAGCTTTTTGGATCATATCCAGTGATGCTCAGGGGTTACTTCTGGCTCTGCACTCAAGAATTACTCGTGGCAGCGGTACACAGGGGACTATTTAGGATGCCAGGGATTGCACCCAAGTTGGCTGTGTGCAAAATCTGTACACGACCCTTTATTTTATTTATTTATTTATTTATTTGCTTTTTGGGTCACACCCGGCAATGCTCAGGGGTTACACCTGGCTCTGCGCTCAGAAATCACCCCTGGCGGTGCTCAGGGGACCATATGGGATGCTGGGAATCGAACCCAGGTCAGCCACGTGCAAGGCAAAGCCCTACCCACTGTGCTATTGCTCCAGCCCCAACAACCCCTCATTTTAAAATTTCTTGACATTTTTGTTTTGGGGCCACACCTGGCAATGCTCAAGGGTTACTCCTGGTTCTGCATTCAGGAATTACTTCTGGCGGTACTCAGGGAACTCTATCGGATGGCGGAGATCGAACCCGGGTCAGCTGTGTTCAAGGCCAGTGCCCCGTCCCTCTGGTAGTCCATTCTTGAGTTCTTATCACAGCCGTTATCCGTGACATCCTGGCTTTCCTGGCGCCCGTCTTCCCAAGGGATCCAGGGATCCAGCGGTGCTCTGGGTCTGGAATTCATCACAAAAGCTGTCTGAGCATAATTCCTGACTTGGATCTTGCGTCGCAAAGTCCATGAGGGCCTTTGAGCCGGCTTCGGCTCCAGGTCGTGTTTATTTTCCCAGGATACATTATCAGTGTTGCCCTCTTCCTCTGCAAGCAAAAAAAAAAAATGAATCTTTACGGAGTGTGAAAGTCACAGGGGCTGGAGCAATATCACAGTGGGTAGGGCGTCTGCCTTGCACGTGGCCAACCCAGGTTCGATTCCCAGCATCCCATATGGTCCCCTGAGCACCGCCAGAGGTAATTCCTGAGCGCAGCAAGCCAGGAGTGACCCCTGTGCATTGCCAGGTATGACTCAAAAAGCAAAAAAAAAAAAAAAAAAGTCAGGGGGCTGGAGCGATAGCACAGCGGGTAGGACGTTTGCCTTGCACGCAACCAACCCAGGTTCGATTCCCAGCATCCCATATGGTCCCCTGCGCACCGCCAGGAGTGATTCCTGAGTGCAGAGCCAGGAGGAACCGAAAAAGGAAAAAAAAAAAGAAGAAGGGGCTGGAGAGATAGCACAGCGGGTAGGACGTTTGCCTTGCACGCAACCAACCCAGGTTCGATTCCCAGCATCCCATAGGGTCCCCCGAGTGCATGAGCCAGGAGTTTAAGTAACCCCTGTGCATCGGTGGGTGTGACCCAAAAAGCCAAGAGAAAAAAAAAAAAAAAGAAAGTCAGGTCAGTACCCAGGGCAATCCCCAGAAGCCCCGCCCTCTCGCTCCGCCCCTGCCTGGCCTTATCCAACCACAACTCTCCGTCTCTCGTGGGCGTGCTCGCCCCGCCCAGTCACTCGCGGCCGCCTTCGCAAAACCTGCCCAATCACGTACCGAACTCTCTAGGAATTCCCCGCCCCCTCACCGTCCAGGCTCCGCCCAGCAGGCGGAACTCCCTCGCAGGCCCCGCCTTCTTCCCCCGGGCGGTTCCGCCCAATCAGAAGAGACTTCCAATCGCTCGCCCCGCCCCCGCCCGCTCTTCCCAGGCCTTCGCCGCGCCCGGCGGCCGCGGCGGATGACGTCAGCAGCCCGCGCCGCCAGAAGGTCACACGGGCTTTTCCAACATGGCGGCGGCGGCGCTGCGAGGTGGCTGGTGCCGCTGCCCGCGGGTGAGCCGAGTCGTGGGGCCGGGAAGGCGGGCCCGGGGGGCTCCCGGTCCACTCGTGGTCCGGGGGTCTCGCCCTCCGCGGGGTCTTGGCTCCGCGAGCGCCGCGGGGCTGGCTGGGGCAGCCGGAGCCGAGCCGGGGCGGGGTGGCGCGGGGGGTCCCGTGCGAGGCCTCGAGGCGGACCCGGCCCGGGGGGCGGCGCTGCCCCGAGCCCGGCGGGGAGCGAGTGACCCCTCGGCTCCTCGAGATGGTGATGCAGGTGCCCGCGGCGCCCGGGGGTGGGGTGGGGGGGCAAAGGCGCCACCCCCGGACCCCTCTCACCCCCCCGCGACAGCCGCAGCTCGCGTGGACCCGCCGCCCGTGTCGCGTCGCGGAGCCCCTCGGCGACAGCGGGCGGGAGGAGGACGACGACAGGGGTCCCGGGGGTCCCCGCCAAGAGCTCGGGCAGCTCCCGGCAGCCCCGCGAAGAACGTGCTCCGTGGGGCTGGAGTGATAGCACAGCGGGGAGGGCGTTTGCCTTGCAACGCGGCCGACCCGGGTTCGATTCCCAGCACCCCATAGGGTCCCCTGAGCACCGCCAGGAGTCGTTCCTGAGTGCATGAACCAGGAGGAACCCCTAAGCATCGCCGGGTGTGACCCAGAAAGCAAAAAAAAAGAAAAGTGCAGGGGCTGGAGAGAGAGCACAGCGGGGAGGGTGTTTAGCTTGCAACGAGGCCGACCCGGGTTCGATTCCCAGCATCCCATATGGTCCCCTGAGCACCGCCAGGGGTAACTCCTGAGTGCATGAGCCAGGAGGAACCCCTGAGCATCGCCAGTGTGGCCTTCAAATTAAAGATAGGGGCTGGAGCAATAGCACAGCGGGGAGGGCGTTTGCCTTGCAACGCGGCCGACCCGGGTTCGATTCCCAGCATCCCATAGGGTCCCCTGAGCACCGCCAGGGGTAATTCCTGAGCGCAGAGCCAGGAGGAACCCCTGAGCATCGCCAGGTGTGACCCAGAAAGCAAAAAAAAAGCGAGAAATCTTGCCCTTTTTTGGGGGGGGACGTGGGTGGGTGAGATTTGGGCGAAAGTGCTCGGGGCCTACTCCCGGCAGTGCTCAGGAGTCCCTAGGTGGTAATGGGGATTGAAGTGGGTTCCAGTGCATATGTGATAAGCACCTACATTCCTGTAGTATCTCTCTGGGCCCCTAACACGTCTTGCAGAGAGGGATGGAACTGGGGGTTTCACATCTGTGAGATACACCCTAGCCCCCTTTTGCTAATCTACCCCCACTGAGAAGCAGAATTATAGGAAGGTTGAATGCTTTTTGTTTTGTTTTTTTTGGGGGGGGCTATACCCAGTAGTGTTCAGGTATCACTCCTGGTGGAGTTTGGGGGACCTTATGTGCCACCAGCGGTGCAAAGGTGAGCACCTTCCCAGGTGTCCTGTCTCTCCAGCTCAGAAGCAGCAGAATCTGGTGCCGTACCTCGAGGGCCTTGGCGACCCCCAAACTCTGAATCTAAGAAAAATCAGATGGGATCCCCAGAAAAGCGAGGAGCCCCCCGGGCAGGCAGAGAGTTGCTCTTTCTGGGTGGGGCGCCCAGCAACCCTTAAGAGAAGAATCGAAGCTCTGCGGGGCTGCAGAGATGTTACAATGGGCGTCGAACTCCCAGGAAGCCCACCTGGGTTCCATTTCCGCACCTACATAGGGTCCCCCAGAGCACCGCCAGGAGGGAGGGATCCCGGGGCACAGAGTCCTGAGCCCCTCCAGGCATGACCCCCAAACACTCCGGAATCAAAGCCCCTTTCTTCCGACGCATTTTCCTCCCCTCTCCCTAGAATCCGGAGGCTCTGCAAGGCATCAGGATCGGGGCTGTGGGGAACCCCAGCAATGGAACCCCAGCAATGCACAGGGGTTCCTCCTGGCTCTGCACTCAGGAATTACTCCTGGCGGTGCTCAGAGGACCCTATGGGATGCTGGGAATCGAACTCGGGTCAGATGTGTGCAAGGCAAACACCTTACCCGCTGTGGTATCACTCCAGCCCTAAGACTCCTTGCTTTTTATTTAGTTTTTTGCTTTTTGGGTCACACCTGGCGATGCACAGGGCTTATTCCTGCCTCATGCACTCAGGAATTACTCCTGGCGGTGCTTGGGGGACCCTATGGGATGCTGGGAATCGAACTCGGGTCAGATGTGTGCAAGGCAAACACCTTACCCGCTGTGGTATCACTCCAGCCCTAAGACTCCTTGCTTTTTATTTATTTAGTTTTTTGCTTTTTGGGTCACACTGGCGATGCACAGGGCTTATTCCTGCCTCATGCACTCAGGAATTACTCCTGGCGGTGCTTGGGGGACCCTATGGGATGCTGGGAATCGAACCCGGGTCGGCTGCGTGCAAGGCAAACACCCTACCCGCTGTGCTGTAACTCCAGCCCCAAGACTCCTTGCTTTTTTTAAAAAAAAAAAAAATTTGTTTTGGGAGCACACCCAGTAGTGCTCAGGGCTTACTCCTGGCTCTGCACTTAACAGTTACTCCTGGCAGTGCTCAGGGAACCATATGGGAGGCCAGGGTTCGAACCCGAGTCAGCTGCGTGCAAGGCAGACGCTCTACCCGTTAGACTATCACTCTGGCCCCACTTTTTAAAAGATCTTAAAAATAGTTTTATTCAAAGAAAACTTTGGAGGTGGCTCACGCCCAGTGGAACTCAGGCTCTGTGCTCAGGGATCACTCCTGGCGGTGCGTAGGGGACCCTATGGGATGCTAGTGATGGACTCGGGTCAGCCGCATGCCAGGCCAGCATCTGGCCACTGTCCTGTCACTAGAGGGCCCCGGGACACCCTCCTTTTCTCACGCGTGCACACCCCCCTGCCGGCCCCTCTCCTGAAGGGATCTTCCTCTCTCCTCCCCCCCATCAGACATGTCTCAGCAGCAGAGCCCCGTTTCTTTCCAGCCATGCCCTCATGCCACCCCCTCATGGTACCTATCAGCTGCGCCAACCTGGCAGAGAGCTACCCCTGGTGAGTAACTCAGGACCCCCAGCCAGGGGGCAGCAGGGGGTGGGCCGAAGAGAGGGCTGCTGGGGGGGGGGCTGGTCTTGGCAGGGTCTGTGCCCCGCCACCCCCGGTGTGTGTGTGAAATTGTCAGGACTGAGACCCCAGGGCTACGCAAGGGGTCAGGGGCTTTCCTTGCCGGTGGCTGGCATCCCCGCACTGCCCAGGGTCACGCCCCGTCCCCTCTAGCCTTGATCCCTGAGCTCGGAGCCCGGGCACCGCCGGGTAGGGCCCGAACTCCCACTTGGGCCACCAGGAAAATAAATTGTTGGTGGGGCTGGAGTGATAGCACAGCGGGTAGGGCGTTTGCCTTGCTAGCAGCTGACCCGGGTTCAATTCCCAGCATCCCATATGGTCCCCTGAGCACTGCCAGGGGTAACTTCTGAGCGCAGAGCCAGGAGTGACCCCCTGTGCATTGCCGGGTGTGACCCAAAAAGCAAAAAATAAAGAAAGAAAGAAATTGTTGGGTTCCGGCCTTGCGAGAGAGTCGGCCGAGGTGCTCAGCGGTTACTCCTGGCTGCGCGCTCAGGAATCACTCCTGGAGGGGCTCTGCGGTGCCAGGGATCGAACCCCAGGTGGACCGCGTGCAAGGCAAGTGCCCTGTGTGCTGTACTCTGTGCCGTGACCGGGGTGTGGGGGTGTGTGGAGATTTAGGGTAGTGAAGGGACAGTGGAAGACTAGTGCATGGAGACAGGGGAGCCTCCGAGGGACCCCCGGGGAACCAGGGAATCTGTGCTTTTGGAAACTTGAACTTCAGGGACTGACATTGTATCTGTATGGCCATGAGTTGCAACAATGTCGCAGCTTCCGCAGGCTAGCGGGAAGGGTCCTGGAGCTAGTCCTGGTTCCTTCCAGGCTCAAGTCTTCACTCCAGCCTTGGGGCTGGGCCGCTTGCTCGGAGGGCACCCCAGGTTGGACCTCTCTTTTTTTTTTTTGCTTTTGCTTTTTGGGTCACACCCGGTGATGCACAGGGGTTACTTCTGGCTCATGCACTCAGGAATCACTCCTGGCGGTGCTCAGGGACCATATGGGATGCTGGGAATCGAACCTGGGTTGGCCGCATGCAAGGCAAACGCCCTACCCGCTGTGCTATCACTCCAGCCCCCCTCTCTTTTTTTTTTTTTTTTGCTTTTGGGGTCACACCCGGTGATGCACAGGGGTTACTTCTGGCTCTGCACTCAGGAATTACTCCTGGCGGTGTTCGGGGGACCCTATGGGATGCTGGGAATCGAACCTGGGTTGGCTGCATGCAAGGCAAACGCCCTACCCGCTGTGCTATCACTCCAGCCACCCTCTCTTTTTTTTCTTTTTTTGGCTTTTTGCGTCACACCCAGCGATGCACAGGGGTTCCTCCTGGCTCTACGCTCAGGAATTACTCCTGGTGGTGTTCGGGGGACCCTATGGGATGCTGGGAATCGAACCCGGGTCAGGCGCATACAAGGCAAACACCTTTCCCTCTGTGCTAGCACTCCATCCCCTGGACCTCTCTTGAGAACTTCTATGTCCCGTCCCTGCCCCAAACAAAACCCCCATCTGTTGCCTTCTCACATTGGCTTCTTCCTTGTCCTTGTTCATGGACGCTTCCTCCATGTCATTTTCTATTATTTTTTGTGGAGGGGGGGGGGTTGGGGACTCATCACCAGTGCTCAGGGCTGACCCCTGACTCTGTGCTCAGGAGGAATGACTCCTGGCTCTGTGCTTGGGGCTGGCTCCTAGCCCTGGGCTCAAGGTTGACTCCTGGTGGGGCTCAGGGGACCCTTTGCAGTGCCAGGGTCAAACTCAGCTCAGCCGCGTGCAAAGCCACTGCCCTCCCTCCTGAACCAGCTCTCCAGACTCTCTGTGTTTTTTCCTTTCTCATTCCTGTCCTGTTTTTTATTTGTTTTGCTTTTTGGGTCACACCCAGCGATGCACAGGGGTTACTCCTGGTTCATGCACTCAGGAATCACTCCTGGCCGTGCTCGGGGGACCACATGGGATGCTGGGAATCCAACCTGGGTCAGGCAGCATGCAAGGCAAATGCCCTACCCGCTGTGCCATCACTCCAGCCCCTGTCCTGTTTTTTTTTTTTTCATTCTCTTCGGTGCCAGGGATTGAACCGCCTCCCTGGCCCTGCCTTTTCTCTTTTGTTACGGTTCGGAGGCCACAGCCAGCCGCACTGGGTGGTGGCCTCAGCTCTGTGTTCACGGTTTGCTTCCAGAGGTGCTGGCGGAGCAGGCCAGGCTGGACATGGAACCTGGAGCTTCCTCACGCGAAGCCTGATGAGACCGGAGTGATAGTACAGAGACAGGGTACTGGTCTTGCATGCAGCTGACCTGGGTTTGAGTCCTGAGCCTAGAGCCAGAAGTAACCCCTGAGTACTGCCATCCATGTGTGAGTTAAACTAAATAAATAAATAACTTCCATTTTATACACAGCCTGACCTCCAGCCTTTTTTTTTTTTCCTTTTGGGTCACACCCGGAGATGCACAGGGGTTCCTCCTGGCTCTGCACTCAGGAGTTACTCCTGGCGGTGCTCAGGGGACCCTATGGGATGCTGGGAATCGAACCCGGGTCGGCTGCGTGGAAGGCAAACGCCCTACCGCTGTGCTGTCTCTCCAGCCCCTTCACCCTTTTTTTATTTTGTTTCGGGCCCATACTCAGGAGTGCTCAGGGATCACTCCTGATGGGACTGGGGGGGGGGGGGGGTCCTATGGGATGCCGAGGATCGAACTTGAGTCTGCCTCTCTGTCTCTCCGGCCCGCCCCAGCCCTGTGACCCATGTCCCTACCCCTCATTTGCCATTCTTATTAGAGATGTGGCTCTTTGTTCAGTAGAAGGGAGAAAGTCAGGCCAGGGAGCATCGAAGCCGGAAGGCCCTTGCCTGGCCCATGGCTCACCCTGGTTTGACCTGCATATGCTCCTGTGAGCACTACCAGCAGTAACCCCAAGCATCATGGGGTGTGGGTCAAAACCCATTGTCCCTTCTAAGAAGAAGGGGAAGAAAGTCAAAAAAAAAAATCATACTGGAAGGATAGTGTGCAGCAGGGAGGGCATTTGGGGAGGCATTTGCCTTGCACGCTGTAGACCCGGACTTGGACCCCATATGGTCCCCCAAGCCTTCCAGGAGTGACCCCTGAGTGCAGAGCCAGGGGTAAGCCTTAAGCATCACTAGGTGTGCTTCCCTCCCAAAACAATTCCCTCTGGGGCTGGAGCGATATAGCACAGCAGGTAGGGCGTTTGCCTTGCATGCGGGCGACCTGGGTTCGATTCCCAGCACCCCATATAATCCCCCGAGCACCGCCAGGAGTAACTCCTGAGTGCATGAGCCAGGAGGAACCCCTGTGCAAAGCCGGGTGTGACCCAAAAAGCAAAAAAAAAAAAAGAAAACAAGTTCTTGGGGGCAGGGAGGTGCCTTGGTAGGTGAGTTGGTAGTAAATGTGTTAGTTCCTGGGTTCGATCCCTGGCACCTCTCTCTTCAACCTGCCTTCAAACCCCACCCCCCCCCCAAAAAAAAAAACAAACCAAAAACTTCATCTCTCGAACTTTCTCTCTAGTCCAGATCCTATTCTTCTGGAAACAGAAAAGGTTTCCTCTCGGGTTTGGTCGATAACATCAAACAAGAGCTCGCCAAGAACAAGGAAATGAAAGAGAGCATCCAGAAATTTCGCGACGAGGCTCGGAAGCTTGAGGAATCCGATGCGCTCCAGGAAGCCCGGAGGAAATACGTGAGCGGGGAGGGGGGGGCGCAGACGTGGGAGGGGGTGCGCGTGGTTCTGGGGGCCTTCTGTTGTGGGGACTGTGTGTGAGAGGGGTGGCATGTGACTGATGATGGCCCCCGGCGCTCTCGCTGTCGGCACTGGGCGCCCACCCCGGGGCCTCGCACCCGCGTGGCCGGGCGCTTTTGGTGTCTTGAGGACCACACCCCGCGATGTGCATGCGGGGGGCCGACTCTTGGCTCAGCACTCAGGGATCACTCCTGAAAGGCCCCCAGTGGGCTGCCGGGGATTGAACCCAGGTCGGGCTGCAGGCAAGACAAGCGTCGTCCCCGCTGTCCTGTCGCTCTGGCCCTGGCTTGGCTTGACTTGGCTTGACTTGGGTTCGCTTCGTTTTTGTTCCACTGGCGAGCGATTCTGGTCTGGGGGCCGCCCCCCCACCCCCGGCGTGGAAGTGGGGCGTCCCGCCCACAGCGCCCGCCCTCTCTCTCCTAGAAAACCATCGAGTCGGAGACAGTCCGCACAGGCGAGGTGATCCGGAAGAAGCTGGGGGAGCTCACGGGCTCCGTGAAGGAGGTACTCCTCTCGCGCCTGCCTCTCGGGGCCCCCCTCCCGGGGGGACGCAGCCCCCAACCATCAGGGCCCAGGGGCAGGAGGGGGGCAGGGTGTGCGCCCTTGGGTAGCCCCTACTGACCTTAAGATCCAGGGACCTTGGGATCTCAGCGGGGGCCGGTCCCCACCCATTCTGGGGAGAGGCAGGTGGTGGTGGGGGGCGGGGGGAGCTGGGTTTCTGGGTGGGGTGGCCCCAGGGAGCGCCGACGCCCCCATCTGTGTCTCAGTAGAGTCTCGATGAAGTCAGTAAGAGCGACCTGGGCCGGAAGATCAAGGAGGGCGTGGAAGGGGCCGCCAAGACGGCGAAGCAGTCGGCAGAGTCGGTGTCCAAGGGCGGTGAGAAGCTGGGCCGCACGGCCGCCTTCAAAGCCCTGTCCCAGGTGAGGGCTCCGGGGGGCGGGGGGGTACCTGGGGGTCCCTTGTGCCCAGCCCTGGAAGGAGTCAGTCTCGTGAGGGTGCTGCCACCAGGTCCTCTCCTCACTCCCGTCCCGACGGTGGCCTTGAGCAGCTCAGGGCCTCAACCTCTTCAGCGTGGAGCCTGGTGGGGGGCAGGGGTGGGTCCCCAGCTGATGACAACCCAATCCGTCCTCCATAAGGAGGAAAATGGGGTCTGAGAGATATTGCAGGGGGTTGGCGCCTGCCGGCATCCCAGAGGGTCCCCCTAGGCCAGAGCCAGAGTGACCCCCAGACCAAAAGGAAGTGGGGTTAAAGGTCCAGTCACGGGGCTGGAGAGATAGCACAGCGGGGAGGGCGTTTGCCTCGCACGCGGCCGACCCGGGTTCGATTCCCAGCATCCCATCTGGTCCCCTGAGCACCGCCAGGAGTAACTCCTGAGTGCAGAGCCAGGAGGAACCCCTGTGCATCGCCGGGTGTGACCCAAAAAGCAAAAAAAAATAAATAAAAGGTCCAGTCACCTCCCAGTTCATGGAGACAATTTTTTTTTCCCACTTTTTTGGGTCACACCCAACAATACTCGGGTTACTCCTGGCTCTGCACTCAGGAATTACTCCTAGTGGTGTTGGGGACCTTATGGGAGGCCTTCCCCGCTGTACTATCGCTCCAGCCCCTCACTCCCTGTGTTTGGAGAGAGGGAGCACCCTACTTGTGAGGGGCTGAGCTAGGGCCCAGGGGCCCATCTCAGGACTCCTCTGTGGCGTCCGAGGGGTCAGTTCCAGCATCGAGGGGTGTCCGGAGTGGCAGGAGGGCTTCCTGCGTTGAGGGTCCCTCATCCACCTGGCCCGGCCGTGCCGTCCCGCAGGGTGTGGAGTCGGTGAAGAAGGAGATTGACGAGAGCGTGCTGGGCCAGACTGGGCCCTACCGGCGGCCCGTGAGGCTTCGCAAACGGAAGGAGTTCGCCGGCGAGAAGCTCAAGGAGGAGAAAGTGTTCGAGCCCAACGAGTAGGTGTCTGGGTGGGCTCCCCCCACCCACCCACCCCTCCTCCAGGGGCTGTGGGCGACAGGGAAGACCAGGCCCCCCTCACCACCGCCGTCTCCCGCAGGGAGGCCCTGGGCGTCGTCCTACACAAGGACTCCAAGTGGTACCAGCAGTGGAAAGACTTCAAGGACAACAACGTGGTGTTCACGCGTGAGTGGGGGCGCCCCCGGCCCCGGGTGGGGGTTATTCCCCGGCTCCGCAGCTGTCGGGCACAGGTGGGTCCTGAGAGTCGAGGCAGGAAGGCATTTGCCGTGCACGCTGCCCACCGGGTTCGATCCCGGGCACCCCATAGGATCCCCCGGCCAGGAATAACGCCTGAGTCCAGAGCCAGGAGCGACCCCCGAGCATCGCGGGGTGTGGCCCCCCAAACAGAAAATACCGTTGGGTCCTCAGGTGTGACTGAGGGAGCCCGGCTTGGAGAGGCCCCTCTGACTCCGTCCCCCCACACCCCCAGGCTTCTTCGAGATGAAGATGAAGTACGACGAGAGCGACAATGCGTTCATCCGGGCCTCCCGGGCACTGACGGACAAGGTCACGGACCTGCTGGGTGAGGCCCCCTCGCCTCCCCCCCCACACACACCCTTTCCCCAGGCGGGTGGGCAGCCGGCCAGCCGGGTCCCAGCACCTCACCCACTCTGCGGCGGCCTGGCTGCCTCCAGGGGGCCTGTTCTCCAAAACGGAGATGTCGGAGGTGTTGACCGAGATTCTGCGCGTGGACCCCGCCTTCGACAAGGACCGCTTCCTGCAGCAGTGCGAGAACGACATCATCCCCAACGTGCTGGAGGTGGGCACCCACCCCCACCCCCACCCCCGCACCCCTAGCCTAGCGCCTTGGGCTCTGGAGGGCGTTTGGCTGAGCGGGGACGGGGCCCAGCTGGCCCCCACAGTGGGACTGGGATTCCCACCTCAACCCCCCTCCCAGGGGCGCCCACCCACTGCTCCAGCTTCTCCACGGCACCTTTCCCGGGCTGGATCAGAGGCCGCCACAGCCCACCCTCCACGAGCCCCCTCTCTGGCCTGATTTCTGGGGAGCCGCTGGCCTGAGGCCACGCCCCCGGGCTGGTCTGGTCACGCCTCTGAGCCCCGCCCCTTCCGTTGATCCCTGCCCCTCTGGGCCCATCTCTTCCCTAAGGCCCACCCCTCCCCTTAGCCCCGCCTCCCTGGGTCCCGCCCTCACCGCCCCCCCTCAAGTCTCCCCTCCCAGTCGGTGTTTCCCCCCAGGCACGGCCTTGGCTCGCTGCTCTTTGACTCAGTTTCCCCAGCTGGTCTGGAATCAGAGCCTAGCACACCTTCCGCATTCCCACCCCCTCCACGGCCCACTGTGGGGAACCCCCAGATGCCACCAAGGCTAGCGCCTCCTCAGTGCCTACTACCTGGCACCTGGAGGCGGGACCCGCCCCTGCTGCAGCCCAAACCCATCCTTGCGGGCCCCTTGGAGCGTGTATCCTCCCCCAGACACGCGAGTAGCCTCACCGCCAAAGCCTCCTCCTTCCCAGCTTAGTAATTTCCTTTTCTTTTTTCTTTTTTGGTCTTTCCCTTTTTAGGCCATGATTTCTGGAGAGCTTGACATCCTCAAAGACTGGTGCTATGAAGCTGTGAGTACCCCCGCCGGTTCTGTTCAGGCCTGAGAAGTGACGCCTCGGCCCAGGGGAGCGGCCGGGGTGCGGGGCGGGGAGGGGGGGCCCTTCTCCTGGCTCCAGGGCCCTTGTGAACTGCACGAGGGTGCAGCCCGCAGCCCACCTTGCAGCACGGGCCTCTGGGACTCAAATATCTCAGCGGTCCTCTCTCCCTCCCTTCTGTTCCTGGTACCCCTGGGGACCATCCTCGAGCACAGAGCCAGGAGTAGCCCCAGGCGTCACTGGATGTGGCCCCCGAATCCCACAATCCCTCCCCCGCCGAGTGGGGTTATTTCTCAGGAGAGATTTGAGCCATCAGAAGGTGGTGGTGGTGGTGTGTGTGTGTGTGTGTGTGTGTGTGTGTGTGTGTGTGTGTGTGTGTGGCAGAGGGGGGATTCGGGTGACCCAAGTGGCAGAAATCCAGGCCCTGGGTTTCCTGGATCAGCCTGGGGTGTGGCCCAGAGGCCCAGGGGTTGGGGTGCAGGAGGAAGGCGTGAGGAGTTCTGCTGCTCTGGTCCAGATGTGAGTGGTTGGTAGCGCTTGGGACCCAGGGCTCCGAGCGGTCCAGCTGTTGTTTTATTACTGGGGGGTCCAGCAGAACTGGAGGCACCGGGACCCCTGCCGCGTGCTGAGGGCTTGGGGGGCCGGGCGTGTGCTGTGCCTGGCACCCCACTCGGGCCTTGAGAATATGCACCCACCAGCTGCCACCCTTTGAGCCGTCTCCGGAGCGCTGTCCCCGCTTCCCGCACTCCCGTGCCTCATCGAGGGCCCTCCTGCGCCTGGGGGTGCCAGGGCTGCCCCCCCTTCCTCATGGCGCCAGACGCACTTGATGGATTCATGAGCTTTTCTCCCCGCAAGATCCCGAAAGCCGCGGAAACAGATGCCCCAGACGTCCCGCCGGGGAAGGCGCGACCCGGTGCCACCCAGCGGCTCCTGGAGTCGGGCCTGAGCGCCCTGGCACGCAGCCCGGAGGCCCGCCACGCGCTCCCAGGAGCCCAGGCGTCTGCCCCCCTGGCGGCCAGCCGCCCGGCCGGCCCCCCACCCACACCCAGCTCCCTCCTGGCCCCGCCTTCCTTGGGGTGGGCACCCCCACCCCTACCCCCACTCCGGGGCGTCTAGCAAACGCCGCCTTTTTTTTTTTTTTTAGGCTGAGTCTATTGTCCCCAGATCACAAACAACTGGGGAAAAGCAGGGGAAGAAGATGTCAGGGTGGCTTTTAAAATACTCCCCTGCGCGGTGACTAATCGCTGGGGAGAGGGGAGCACTGCGCGTGAGTGTGCGTGTGTGTGTGCGTGCGCGCGTGGTGTGTGCGCGTGCCGAGCCGAGCTGGGGCTGCCGGGCGCTGGGACACGGCCAGGCTCGCTCCCTCCCCATCGCGCCCCCGCCCTCGCGTCTGTCCACTCGCCCACCAGGGCCACGTTCCTGGCGCACCGGTCTGGGCACCGGCTGCAGAGCCGCCGTAGCAAGGCACCGGGTTGATGACGGGGGTGGGGTTGGGGGCGCGGTGTGTCCCGGGGGCCCCTCTGGTGCGTGAGGGCGGCCCTCAAGGTCATCCCCTGGCAGAGTCTGGGCAGTGTCGGGGTGAGCCCCCCACCCCCACTGCCTGTCCCGGCAGTGGCGCCCCGAGTTGGCCCTTGGTGTTTGCCCACCAAGAGGAAACCCTGGGCTGGGCCTGGGAGGCGGGGGGTGCCCACGGGAGCTCCCCGGCCTTGGGGGCACCTGCTCTGGGCTGTGCGTGTGTGCGTGCATGTGCGTGCATGTGTGTGCGTGTGCGCGCGTCTGGGTCTGTGTGTGGCTGACTGCGAGTCTGGCACCCAGCGGGCTGTCGCTGCGTCCGGCTGTCCCGCGTCTGTCGGGCCATGTGCGCGCCTCGGCCCACAGCCCCCCGGCTTGTCGTTGCAGACCTACAGCCAGCTGGCCGTGCCCATCCAGCAGGCCAAGGCCCTCGGCCTGCAGTTCCACTCCCACGTCCTGGACATTGACAACGTGGACGTAAGCGCGGGCGGGGCGGGCCGGGCCTGGGGTGGGGGGGTGGGGGCCGGCCCCGTACCTCCCGGGGGAAGAGGATTTTGGTCCGGGCAGCCCGCCCCCACCCCACATGCCCCCCCACCCCCACCCCCGGGGGAAGCAAGCTTGTCACCCTGATTTGGGGGACCTGGGGGTGGGTTCCCGACAGCCTCGACTGCAAATCACAATTAGGGGCGAAGCTCGTCCGGGTGGTGGGGCTTGGGGTTCCCTCCCGCCCCCGGGCCTGGGGGGCGGGGCCTCGTGCTGAGCCACGCCCCCCCTCACCTTCCGCCCCCCCCGCCCCCCACCCAGCTGGCCATGGGCAAGATGATGGAACAGGGCCCGGTGCTGATCATCACCTTCCAGGCGCAGCTGGTGATGGTGATCAAGAACCCCAAAGGCGAGGTGGTGGAGGGCGACCCGGTGAGTGCGGGCGCCCCCCGCGCCCCCCCTCCGCCCTCATCCCGCGTGCGTGCCCCCCCCCACCCCCGCTGACCACCAGCCCGCACCCCCAGGACAAGGTGCTGCGCATGCTGTACGTGTGGGCGCTGTGCCGCGACCAGGACGAGCTCAACCCCTACGCCGCCTGGCGCCTCCTGGACATCTCGGCCTCCAGCACCGAGCAGGTCCTCTGAGCGCCGCGGGCACCGAGCCCAGCGGGACCGGACTCGGCGCCGCTCCCCGCCCACCCCGAGCCAGCCGGACCTGGACGGGGAGCCCGAGGGGCCGCCGCCCCACCGCGCCTGCGCCTGCCCCTGCCCCTGCCCCTGCCCACCCTCCTGGCCTGGGGACTGCTGCAGGGCTGGGGTGGGGGGGTGGGGCAGACCGTGCCAAGAGCCCCGTTCCAGGGACTCCCTCCGTGGGGGCGGGGGCCAGGCCCTTTGAGCTCCGCTCATTTTTTTAACCAGTGTCCTTACCGTGTACATACGCTTGAGATTTGGAAATAAAGCACCAGCGTGCAGGAAAACGGTGTGTTGGTCGTGTGTGTGCGTGCGTGTGTGTGCATGTGTCTGTGCATGTGTGCGCGTGCGTGCGTGTGTGCGTGTGTGTGTGACCGAGGGGGGCCCGGGAACAGGACCCGCCTGCGGTGGTCGGGGAGGGGCTCCCCGTGCCGAGCTCGGAGGCTGCTGCTGGAGCCGAGGGGGGAGGAGGAGGAGGAGGAGGAGGAGGAGGGGGAGGGGTCTCCCGGCTGGGTGGGGGGAGCCGGTGGGGCCGCCGGTGGGCTTCGAGTGCCCGATTTAGACATCGGGGGGCGGGCCTCGAGGTCCAGCCACCTCGGACATCTCGCCGGGAGGCTCCGCCGCGCCCGCGGGGGGCGGCTGGCGAGGTCCCCGGCCCCGGGGTCGGGCGCGGGCGCCTCGCGGGGCGGGGAGCCGGCGGGTCCGGGGCGCGGCCCCGAGCCCCCCACGCCGCTCCCCGCGCAGGCTCCGCCCTCGCCGGGCCCCGCCCCCGTCGCCATGGGAACAGCCGCGGCGCCCGGCTCCGTCTCCGCCGCTCCAGGGGCGGGCGGGGTGGGCTGAGCCGGGGCCGCGCCGGGGCCGAGCCGGGGCCGAGCCGGGGCCGAGCCGCGGCCGCCAGCGCCGCCCGGAGAGGCCGGAGGCAGCGCCCGCGCGGGGCCCGGAGGGGGTCGGCGCCCGTCCCGCTGGAGGCCAGGGTGAGCGGCGCGCCGGGGGTCCCGGGGCGGGGTCGGGCGGCGGGGGAGGGGTCCCGGGGGCGCCCGAGCGGCGTCGCACCTGTTGTGCGCGGCCCGGCCGGGACCCCCCGAGCTGCGCGCGCGCCCCGAGCCAGGCGCCCGCGGGACACCTCGGGCAGGGGCGCAGTCCGGGGCGGCGAGCGCGCGCGGGCTGGGGCCGGGGCTGGGGGTGGGGGTGGGGGTGGGGGTGGGGGGGCTGGGGGGCTGACGGTGGGGGGGGGCGGCCGGGGCGCCGGGGGACGCGCAGCCTCGTCGCCCTCGCCCCTCCCGGGCGGCTCGGACCCTCCCCACGCTCCCCACGCAGGGCGCGCGGCGATGTGAGCCATGAGCGCGGCGTGGACGCTGCCCCCCGAGCCGCGGCCGCCGTCGACGGGGCCCCCGGTGGGCGCGGGCCTGGACGCCGAGCAGCGCACCGTGTTCGCCTTCGTGCTGTGCCTGCTCGTGGTGCTGGCGCTGCTGCTGGTGCGCTGCGTGCGAATCCTGCTCGACCCCTACAGCCGCATGCCCGCCTCGTCCTGGACCGACCACAAGGAGGCGCTCGAGCGCGGCCAGTTCGACTACGCGCTGGTCTGAGGGGCGTGGCGCCCCCCCCCCCCCCCGGGCCGGGCCCCGTCCCACCCCGCCCCGGCCCCGCGCCCCCTCCCCCCGCCCAGCCCTCCCTACGGCGCCCCCGTCTCGCCCCCCTCTGGCCAGCCCCCCGCCCCCGCCCCACTCTGTGCCTTTGTCCCTCCGTCCCCGCCCCCACCCGGCGGACCCCCGACTCTGACGCCCGTCCACCCCCCACCCCCAGCCGGCGTTGTAGGCAGGTCGCTCTCGGCTCCGGCCCAGCCTCTGACCATGAGGGCCCTGTCCGTTCCGAGAGGCGGGGACCCCCCTTTTCCCTGCCTCCTCCCCGCCCTGCCCGCTGACCCTCGGCCCCCCGGCCCCCCTGCCCCCAAGTGTTAAGCCCCTCCTTGGGCCCCTGCCCGGCGGGGCAGGCCCTCCTGGGCCCCCGGGGAGAGTGTCCGCTTGCCTGTAAGGGCCGCCGTGTCCAGGATGCGTGTGGCGTGTCCTGCCCCCGTCCTGACTCCACTGCCAGTCTGCCAGCCCCTCACAGACCCTTCTGCCACTGGGCACCTTCCTCTTCCTCCCCTGCCCTGCCTCTGATCCCCTGGTGATAATAAAAGCTGTTACTGAGCGCTCACGACCTGCTAAGTGCCTGCCTGTTGTTGCTTCGGGGGCTGGGGCTGAGGGTCTTACCCAGGAAGGTGAATGAAGAGTTAAGTGGCCCCAGGTGGGCCCACCCCGCCCCAGGACTGGGATTTGAACTCAGGTCTGACTCTTTTTTTATTTTTATTTTATTTTTTCTTTGCTTTTTGGGTCACACCTGGCAGCGCGCACAGGGGTTACTCCTGGCGGTGCTCGGGGGACCCTATGGGATGCTGGGAATCGAACCCGGGTCGGCCGCGTGCAAGGCAGACGCCCTCCCCGCTGTGCTATCTCTCCGGCCCCAGGTCTGACTCTTGAAGGGTTCTGGCTGTTGTTTTGCTTTGGCAGCCTCACCCAGGAGTGCTCAGGGCTCTGTGCTCAGGGCTCTCTTTTGACGGGGCTCAGGGTCTCTATGGAATACCCGGGGTTGAACCCGGGTCTAAAGCGTGCAAGGCAGGGGGCTGGAGAGATAGCACAGCGGGGAGGGCGTCTGCCTTGCACGCAGCCCACCCGGGTTCGATTCCCAGCATCCCATGTGATCCCCAGAGCACCACCAGGAGTGATTCCTGAGTGCAGAGCCAGGAGGAACCCCTGTGCATCACCAGGTGTGACCCAAAAAGCAAAAAATAAAATAAAATAAAATAAAATAAAATAAAGCGTGCAAGACAGACGTTTTAGCTGCTGTGCCATCTTTCTAGTCCCTCTTGTGTTTTTTGGGGGGCACATCTGGATGGCACTCTGGGGCCCCGCCCGGTGGTGTCTGAGGTGCCAGGGTCCCCCATTACGAAAGTGCCTGAGCTCCAGCCCACTGAATTCTCTCTCCCTTTCTTCTCAGCAGCTGTGGGGGGCCGCAGGCGCTCCCTGACCCGGGCTTGCGGGGAGGGGAGGGTGGTTGATGAGTAACTAGCTTCACCCCCACTCCAGGCCCAGCTGAGAACCTCCTTTTCTTTCCCGGAATCTGGGGAGCCGGGGAGGAGGGGGGGGCTGTCATGGGACAGACTCTCGGGCTGACGCCGAGCTGGGCCGGGGCGCCCTCAGCCGGCCCTTGGCGCCTGTCTCCCAGAACTGGCATGGCCTCCTGGTGCTGGCCTGGGCCTGCCAGCCTCAGCCTGGGATCCTGGCCACGGGTCTCCGGTGCTCGGGTCCCCTCCCTTGGGGTGGGGGTGGGGGCCGGTGGCCCCACTGCGTGGCGCTGGGGCTGGCTGTGCTCCACAGCCCGGAGAGGGGGTGTGCTGCGAGCAGGCGTGTTTCTATAAAAGGAAGCCTGTGTGTGAGGGTTCCGCGCCGTGGGCGGACGTGATCCTCCCCAGATGAGGGTGCGGCTGGAGAGGGACCTCTGGAGATCCGGGGTTCTGCCACCCCCCAAGGCTGGCTCTCCCCAGCTCTGCTCCCCCCCCCCCCAGCCACCTCAGTGACCATCTTCTGCTGTGATCTGTCCCACAGAGTGGCCCGCCCTGGACCCCCACCCCTCCATCCGATCACCCCACTTGGACAACTCTGAGAATCCCACCGCTCCTTACAACCATCAGCACTCCCCCACCCACACACACACAACACACACACTCGCTGGCCAAAGCCAGGCGGCCTTGGCTAGAACCAGGATGTAGGGGGTGACTTTGCAGGTGACCAGCCGGGCACAACCTCTCAGGCTTCAGGAACCCCGAGATGTCTCCTTTTTTGTGTGTGTATGTCACACTCGGCGATGCACAGGGGATAGGGGTTCCTCCTGGCTCATGCACTCAGGAATTACTCCTGGGCGGTGCTCGGGGGACCATATGGGATCCTGGGAATCGAACCCGGATCGTGTGTCACACTCGGCGATGCACAGGGGTTCCTCCTGGCTCATGCACTCAGGAACTGCTCCTGAGTGGTGCTCGGGGGACCATATGGGATCCTGGGAATCGAACCCGGATCGGCTGCGTGCAAGGCAAACGCCCTCCGCGCTGTGCTATTGCTCCAGCCCCGAGATCTGCCTCCTGATTTAACCCTCTGCCTGCACCCCTGTCCCATTTTTCAGGAAAGAGGGGGACAGATAAACTGTATCTTTATTCAATCGTAGGACACGGGGCTCAGGACTCAGAGATGGGGCACAGCAGAGTGAAGGCAGGGGGGTCCCTACTACCCCCCCCCGCCATGGCTAACCCCCATTCCCAAGACCAGCTCGTCCCCCCCAGGACCTCCCGATGACCTGGTGCCAGCCTGAGCAGGACCGAGCCTCTAGGGACTCACAAGTGGAGGGTGTCCTTTGGCCCCGCACCCCTCACCGTGGAGGGCTGGCGGCCCGGCCCAGGAGCTCCAGGGGCACCAGGAATGGGTTTAGGGGGCAGACGCCGGACACCTGCCAGGGTGATCGCGAGTCTCTGGGCTCGGTGCTCCCAGGGGGGTCGGGAGGGGAGGGGGTCGGGCTGGCCTGCTGCTCCCTGGGATCTGTCCTCGTATCTGTCACCTGGGGAGGCGACCCCGCGCTGGCAGGGTCGGGCTGGGGGGCTGTCAGGTGCTGATACTTGTCTGAGAGGTGCTGGACCAGGGCGCCGCAGGGCAGGTGCTGCAGTTCCTCGCGGAGGGCCAGGAGCAGGTCAAGGACCACCGCGGACTCTGGGAGTCATGGAGAGAGGAAGGGTCAGGGGGGCAGGGCGGTCTTGCCTCCAGAGATCCCCGTTCCGCCCAGCCGCTGCACCCAGTCAATTCTCACCGGCTGCCGAGAGCTCGGGCCCATGGCCACTGCGTGACAGGGACGACAGGTACTTATAGATCTTCTCAAAATCCACAGTGAAGTCTCCAGGGGGCGCCAGAGGATCAGGAGGGGTGGGGCCAGGCACCTCTGGGGCGGGGCCAGGGATGCTAGGGGCGGGGCCAGGCCTCTCTGGGGCGGGGCCATGTATCTTTGGGGCAGGGTCAGGGATGCTAGGGGTGGGGCCAGGCACCTCTGGGGCGGGGCCAGGGATGCTAGGGGCGGGGCCAGGCCTCTCTGGGGCGGGGCCATGTATCTTTGGGGCGGGATCAGGGATGCTAGGGGTGGGGCCAGGTATCTCCGGGGCGGGGCCAGGGATGCTAGGGGCAGGGCCAGACATCTCTGGGGCAGGGCCAGGGATGCTAGGGGCGGGGCCAGGGATGCTAGGGGCGGGGCCAGGTGGCTTGGTTGCTGCGTCTGGGGCACCAGGGACCGAGCCAGGTATCCCCAGGATGGAGCCAAGAGGGTCAGGAGCTGGGCTGGGGGCCTTGGGAGCAGGGCAGGAGGGCTCAGCGGTGGGGTCCTCTTGTCCTGCAGGAGTGCTGACAACCACCGGCCGTCCACGTGCCTTTGTTGGCTTGGGGGGTATGGAGTGCAGAAGGCTGATGGGCTCTGTGGCAGCGATGGTGAGCACCTGCGGGTGGGGGGGAAGGGTGGGCGAGACCAGGGCGGGCGTCTGAGGCTCAGGAAGTCCATGACAAGCCAGAATCACAGAGCTGTTGAGAGGAAGGGCCCAGGAGGCAAACCCACCCTCAATGGGCTCTTATCCACAACCCTGGCCCATGGGAGCCCACCCCCCACTCTGCCTGGGGGGAGGGTTTCCTGTACCTGTGAGAAGGCTACCATGAGGGCTTCCTCCAGCGGGCCTGTCATCTTCTCGACCAGATCCAGCCATACCTGAACAGGGCAGCCGGATGTACAAGTGGTCAGCCTCGCTGGGCTGCAGGCTCAAGCCTGGAGCGGGGCGCATTGAAGCCCTACTCCCCGGACCAGACTGGAGGCCGTGCCCAGCTGCCTCACCTCGATGGGGGCCGGAGTCTGCGTTTCCTGGCGCCCTGGATATACTTTCTGAATGGCTTCCCGGGCCACGCAGCCCTTAAGATGCCGGAGGAAGTCCCGGACCTGGGAAGACAGAAAAGAGAAGATGGAAAGGGCATTCCAGAATCCCCAGGCTGGCGGAAAAAGAAAAGCCCCCCTCCTCCCTGCCAGCACAGTGGGAAGGATTTTCGTGATGTTGGCTGGGTGTTGGGACAATGCCCAGCCTAGCATGGCCCCTCCGAGAGGCACCCTATTCGGCTCCATCCATCCCTCTCCATCCCTCATGTCTCCAATCTGCACACTCATTCCGGCCCATTTCTGGGTGTCTGCTTCCCAGTCACTCATGGGAGGGCATAGATTTCGCCCCGCCCATACCTCCTCGCCCTGCCCCTGTGCCTTTCACACGTGTATAACACCAGCCTTGATTTACCACCAGACTCTTTTCTTTTCTTTTCTTTTTTTTGCCTTTTGGGTCACACCCGGCAATGCACAGGGGTTACTCCTGGCTCTGTGCTCAGGAATCACCCCTGGCGGTGCTCAGGGGACCATATGGGATGCTGGGAATTGAACCCGGGTTGGCCGCGTGCAAGGCAAACACCCTACCCGCTGTGCTATTGCTCCAGCTCTTTATTTTTTGCTTTTCGGGGTTACTCCTGGCTCTGCACTCAGGAATTGCTCCTGGCAGTGCTTGGGGGATCGAGCCCGGGTCAGTCCAGTGCAAGGCAAATCGCTCCAGCCCCAGGCCTCGTTCTTTCGTCCTGCTTCCCAGGCCTCGAACCCGCAGCACTTCCACGCCAGGCCCCGTCCCCCCCAGAGCCACGCCCCGACTCGCCAGGACCGCTTCCTCCTCCCGCTCGCGCCTATTAGCCCCGCCCACCATTAGCCCGGCCCCTCTGACTCGCTGGCCGGGCGTCATCGCCCTTACCCACAAGCCTCGCCCAGGACGCGTGGACACGACTCAATCGCCCCGCCTCCTAGGCTCCGCCCACCCCTCCCCCAAGCTCGTCCATCGCCTCACGACCCTTCATCTTAAGTCATCACCCCGCCTACCCTCTTAGATCCGCCCTTTCGTAGCCCCGCCCATCCTAGGCCACGCCCATCGACTTCATTTCCCCCATGCCACGCCCCTCCGCGATGCCCCGCCCACACCCCCGCGGTCCTTATCAGCTTGCCCCCCCAGACCCAAGGACACGACCCAATCGCCCCGCCTACTAGGCCCCGCCCACCGCCCACCCCTCCCCCCGGGCTTGTCAATAGCCTCACCGACCCTTCATCTTACGTCATCACCCCGCCTACCCTCTTAGACCCGCCCTTTCGTAGCCCCGCCCACCTACTTCATCCTCCGACGCCACGCCCCTCCGCGATGCCCCGCCCATACCCCCCCGCGGTCCTCATCAGCTTGCCCCGCCCAAGACACGCGGACACGACCCAATAGCCCCGCCTCCTAGGCCCCGCCCACCCCTCCCCCAGGCTCGTCCATAGCCTCGACCCTTCGTCTTACGTCACCACCCCCTACCCTCTTAGATCCGCCCTTTCGTAGCCCCGCCCATTCTAGGCCACGCCCATCGACTTCATTTCCCCATGCCACGCCCCTCCGCGATGCCCCGCCCACAACCCCGTGGTTCTCATCCGCTTGCCCCCTCCAAGACGCAAGGACACGACCCAATCGCCCCGCCTCCTAGGCCCCGCCCACCGCCCACCCCTCCCCCCCGGCTCGTCAATAGCCTCACCCACCCTTCATCTTACGTCACCACCCCCGCCTACCCTCTTAGACCCGCCCTTGTATAGTCCCGCCCATTCTAGGCCCCGCCCACCGACTTTATTTCCCCCCCGTGCCACGCCCCTCCGCGATGCCCCGCCCACGCCCCGCGGTCCTCATCGGCTTGCTCCGCCCAAGACGCGCGGACACGACCCAATCGCCCCGCCTCCTAGGCCCCGCCCACCGCCCACCCCTCCCCCGGGCTCGTCAATAGCCTCACCAACCCTTTATCTTACGTCACCACCCCGCCCACCCTCTTAGGCCCGCCCCTTTGCAGCCCCGCCCGTTCTAGGCCCCGCCCACAGATTTCATCCTGTCACGCCCCTCCCGCGATGCCCCGCCCACGCCCCGCGGTCCTCCTCGGCTTGCCCCGCCCCCAGCTTCGCGAAACGCGTCCCGTCCCCGAAGATCCTGGTCCGGGCCCCTCCCTCCGTCCCCCTCCACGTTCAGGCCCCGTCCCCGGCCTCGCTTGCACCCGGGACTCCCCTCACCTCGGCCTCGCTCCGGCCCGGCAGCTCCCGGGCCAGCTCGGCCGCGTCCGGCTCCGGCTGGCCCCGCCGCGCGTGCAGGAGTCGCAGCAGCTGCCGCTTCTCTCGGGCGCTCCAGGCCGCGGGGCCGCTCAGCTCGCCCAGATAGCGAGCCGGGGCCGCTCGCCGCCGCTGCGGGGGCTTCATGCCGGCGTGCACGGCGTCCGCGCTCCGGGGTCGCTTCCGCGGTCGTTTCCGCGGTCGTTTCCGCGGTGGGCGGGGCTACGGAAGCCGCAGGAGCCAGAAGGCCCCGCGCGGAGGCGCAAGTCGCTGGAGGGGTGGGCGTGCGTTTGCTGGCGGAAGGGAACCACCTCCGCACAAAACGACTTGAGAACCTGGCACCCCGTGCAAGCAGGAACGCACGAGACCCACCCCTCGCTTTTTTTTTTGCTTTTTGCGTCACACCCCGCGATGCACGGGGGTTCCTTCTGGCTCTGCACTCAGGAGTTACTCCTGGCGGTGCTCAGGGGACCCTATGGGATGCTGGGAATTGAACCCGGGTTGGCTGCGTGCAAGGCAAACGCCCTACCCGCTGTGCTTTCTCTCCAGCCCCAATCTTATTTTGTGTGTGTGTGTGGGGGGGGGGCACACCTAGCAGTGCCCAGGGGTTACTCCTGGCTCTGTTCTCAGGGATCACTCTGTGGGACTTGGGGAACCTTAGGGGGGCCGAGGATCAAAATTCGGTGGGCCACATGCAGGGTCTTCTCCGTATTATTATTATTGCACGGCAGAGCCTGGTAAGCTCCCTGTGGTGTATTGGATATGCCAAAAACAGTAACAACAAATCTCACAATGAAGATGTTACTGTTGCCCGCTCAAGCAATCCATGAACAAAGGGATGACAGTTCTACAATGCATTATTATTACTTTTGCTTTTTTGGGTCACACCTGGCGATGCACAGGGATTACTCCTGGCTCTGCACTCAGGAATTACTCCTAGCGGTGCTCGGGGGACCAGATGGGATTCTGGGAATCGAACCCGGGTCGGCCGCGTGCAAGGCAAACGCCCTACCCGCTGTGCTATCTATCGCTCCAGCCCCCACCCCTCGCTTTTGACGTCCTTTGCGAACTGGAGCTGAGACTTGAGACCCTCCACCCAGCTTGGGAGAGCCACACGGTGACCCTTCCTCTGGCAGAGGGGTGGACCCTCAGCTCGGTACTCTGCGATCAGATCAGGGCTAAGAGCTTTTGTTTCTGCTTTGGGGCCACACCCGGCGGTGCTCAGGGTTTATTCCTGGCTCTGTGCTCAGGGATTAAGGCTCTGTGCCAGGATTACTCCTGGCGGGGCTCGGGGCATCCTATGAAATGCCAGAGATCGAACCGGGATCGGTGGCGGTGGCATGCAAGGGATCCCTCCAGCCCCAAGGTCCCAACCCGGCGCCCCGAGGTACAGACAGACCTCAGAACCCAGAGCTTTGGAGTCCAGATGTTGATTTGGAGCCCAGATGTAGCAGGAGGAGGAGGAGGAGGAGAAACCGGGGAGTGCAGGGTGCAGGGATGGATTCTGGTCCCAGCGGGTCGAAGGTCCAGGGCGGCTGCTACAGTCCTGGTGGGCCTGGTCCCTGGACCCCGTGGGGGGTGCCTCATCTCTGGCGAGGGACCACCCAGGCGGAGCGTGGGAGCGGATCCCACGCACCCCACCTCCCTTTCCAAGCCCATCCTTGACATTGCCTCGTCCGCCTGGCGCCTGCGGAGGCTCTCAAGGTCTCATTCGTGACTCTTGAGTGGTCCTGCGCACTGCCCACTGCGCACAGGCTAAGTGGTCCCCTCCCCCATAATTAATTACCTGCCCTACTGAGGCCTCCTAGGCTGGGGGGGCTGCTGGGAGAGGCTCTAGGAGGTGGGCGTTGGGGGTGGGGGGGTCCTGCAAGGTAGAAGCGGCGGCAGGCTGGGCAAGGGCGCCCCCTGGGGGCTGCTGGGGGCGTAGCGTAGGTCAGGAGGTGGTGGACCCCCCGCGGGGGTCCCGGCCATCCCAGGTCCGTACCTGAGCGAGCGCGCGCAGGCGAGACCTAGGCCGGCGGCCAGCGCGGCGCCCAGCACGAAGGCGGCCAGCGCCAGGGCCACGACGGCCGGGGCCGCTGCGGGAGGGGAGGGTCGCGCGGCTCGGCCCGGGGCGCCCTTGGGGGGCCCTGCGGGGAAGCGCCGAGCTGAGAGCGCGCCCCGGCCGGACCCAGAGATCCGCCCCACCCAGCTTCGCGGGCGCCGGGGAGCACTGCGGGAGGAGGGCTGCGCGCTCACGGGGAGGGCGGCGGCCGCGGCACGGTGACCACGATGGGCTGGGTCAGCTGCGTGTGCAGCTGGGGCCCGTGGGCGCTCAGGGGCTCCCCGCGGCCGGTGCCCGCGCACGCCTGGTCCGTCCTGAGGCTGGCACTGGGGGGGTGGAGGGCACGGAGAGGTCAGCGGACCCGGTCCCCGCAAGGATGCGCGCACCCCCTTCCCTCCCTTTCCGGGCCACACCCCGCGGTGCTCAGGGCTGACTCCAGGTGGGCTCCGGGAATCCCGTGGGGTACCAGGGATCGAACCCGGGTGGAAGGCGAGGACCCGCTAAACTCCTAGCCCCCGTGCTCATTTCCTGCTCCCACCGACCTGGGACCGGTTAGTGGGAGTGGAGGTGGTCTCTCTCTTTTTTATTTTTGGGTCACACCCGGCGATGCACAGGGGTCACTCCTGGCTCATGCACTCAGGAATTGCTCCTGGCGGTGCTCGGGGGACCATATGGGATGCTGGGAATCGAACCCGGGTCTGCCGCGTGCAAGGCAAACGCCCTCCCCGCTGGGTGCTATTGCTCCAGCCCCCAGAGGTGGTCTCCTGAGTTCCAGCCTGAGACCCTGTCGCCAACCGGCCTCCCAGTCCACCCGCTGTCCGGAGCTCAGGCCCGTTCGGATCACGTGATCTAGCTCCCCGGGCACCTCACCTGGGCACATCGGTACTTTTGGGGATCCCCCTCCAGTGCGCTGCTTTCCAGCGCGGCGGGGGATCCCGGCGCCCCACCAAAGGGGCTCTGGACTCCTGCCCTTGGGGTGCAAAGCCCCTCGCGCGGAACCCCAGTGCCCAGCCCGGGTCCCTGTTCCTGAAGCCCAAAAGTGATGCCTGAAACGCGGATACCCCGCCCGTTCTCCCTAAGCCCCGACGCCCCCCGAGCTCGCCCCGGGAGACGGGGTGGGCGCGGCGGGCTGCCGGGAGGCGGCGGCGGCGGCTGAGCTGACAGTGCAGGAACTGCACGGACGCGTTGAAGACGGCGCGCAGGCGTCGGCCTCGGTGGGCCGCTGCGGGAAGGGGGTGCTGATGGGGAGAAGTGGGGAGACACGGGGTGGGGGGGTAGCGCTGTCCCCCGCGGCGCTCCGGGCACTCGGCCCACACCCGCCGCCCACCGCAGTGCTGCGATCCTGCGGGGTTTCTCCCCCAGCCCCAGCATCATAGCCAGGGCAGGTGGGGGAAGCGCTTGCTGGGGATGGGGTCCTGGGGGGCGGGGGAGGGGTCCCGATGTCCATCCAGGCCGCGCACCCCTGTCCTGCCTCAGCAGACGGCTGGGGGCAGCACCCACACCCCCCTGCCTGGGGGGAGGCTTGGACTGGCAGGGTAGGGCGGTTCCCCCTCCCACTCCTCAACCTCCCTGCTGCGGTAGGACCCCCCCACCCTGCCTCTTCTTGGAGGGAGGGAGCTGAAGAGCAGGTGGAGAGGGGGTCCCCTGGGGTCCCCGTGGCTGGTCCAGGCGTGTGAGCAGCGCGACTAGTAGGAGCCCCGTGGTACTGCAGGCCCAGGGCAGAGTGGGGGCCCCCTGGGGCCCGCAGGTGGGCAGACAGGTCCTTGGCTGGGCACAGAGGGGGGACACGGCTGGGCCTTGAGCCAGGGCCCAAAGGTCAGTGGGGATTAAGGACCAGGCGCTGGAGGCGGGGTGCGGGGTGGGGACCCTCTCCGGCTGCCAGATGTGGGGCCAAGAGCGACCCCCAGCTCCAGCCTCAGACTCCCGGCCCCCCTCCCCAGGCCCACCACACAGCAGACCAGAAGAAAAGGGAGGGCTTTATTCTCAAGCATCTAAGAATTTACAAACGAGGGCGTTTCCTTTCAAAAAGGGGCCGAGGAAGCAATACTGGCGGCCTGAGAAGGGGGTTGTGGGTGGGTCCCCCACCCTGGGTGTGGGCCCGGCCAGGCTGTCAAGGGCCCCAGCCTGCCTGGTGCAGGGGTGCTGGCTAGTGAAGGGGGAGGCAGGGGCGGGGGTGACACACTCACCAAAGAGAAAATCAAGTTCAATAAAATTTTTTTTGTCGTTAAAAAAAAAAAAAAACCCACAAACCCCATGTGGCCCAGCCCCACGCCCAGCTGTGCCGTGTCCAGCTGCCCCAAGGCTGAGGGGAGCGGCCAGGCCTCCCGATGACAGCCCCTCGCCAGGAAACGCAGGGCAAGGGGGCTTGCAGAACCCCCAGCCCCCGGGGCTGGAGCAGACACGACTCGGACTTTTGCAGCGTGTGGCCGGTGGCGCTTCGCGGCTGCCGAGGGGTCACTGGGCAGGCGGGCTTTGTCCACGAGCCTCTCTGGTGGCAGCTGGTTTCGTGGGGTCTTTTCGTTTTTGTTATTCCACGTGTTGTCCACTTTTGATTTGCATGCATCACCAACGAAAAATGGGGGGGAGGAAACCCCCCAGCTCCCCCTCGGCTGTGGCGGAGGCTCCGGGGCCCTGGCTCTCCCTCCGGGGGGCTGGTCTCAGTGAGTCAAGGGGTGCTCAGGGGGGCGCATCTGTCTCCACATACCTCAGCCTTCCACGCGTCCTGCCTCTGTCCCTGCCCAACATCCCTGAACCCTCACACATCTCCCCACCCATCACTCCTGCTCCAAGAACGGTCCGGCCCAGGGCGTCCAGGCCCCCCGTCATCACCAGCTCCCTCCACACCTCCCGGCTATGCCCCCACTCGCCGCCCGGCCCGGCCCGGCCTCCTTCCCTGAAGGGCCCCTGTGCGGCCGCGGCTGCTCCTCCTCGGGCCCCCTGAGCTAGCTCCTCCTCGACTCACCCGTACCCCTAAGCTGTGTCTCCAGTCTCCAGCCCCCAGGGGGAAGCCCCTCCCTGCTCCCCGGGGTCCCCGCCTGTCGGGGACTCTCCCCCCCGGGGCCAGCGCCCCCGTCCCCTCCCGAGCAGCTCAACATGACTTTGGTAGTTTCGGAAGGTACCGACGAGCTCCGGAACGCGCTCCCCACCCGCACCCCCCGGTACAATAAAATACAATAAACTTCAAAAAGGACCCCCTGAGATCAGAGAGAGCGAGAGCGAGAGAGGGAAGAGAGAGGGAGAGAGAGGAGAAGGGGTGGGGAGGAGCGCACAGCGGCGGCAAGGGCAGCGGCTCCCCAAGGTCCTGGGGCAGGGGGCGCCCAGGGCAGGGGCCGGCGGGCAGGGAGAGGTAGAGAGGGGGCGCAGAGACAGCGTGTCTGCGGGGCGGGAAGGCGCGGGCACGCAGGCGGCGCTCTCCTGGGCCCCGAGGTTCGGCTGAATAAATAGCGAGTCCGTGCGGCGCCTGCTCACAGCCCTTCACAGTGTCTGTCGGGGCGCCCAGGGCCGGCAGCCTGGTGGCCCGTCTGTCCACGGCCGGTGGGCGGGGGGACGAGGGGCGGCGCCCCCCACCCCCGCGTGCTGTCCTCAGCCCTCAGCGGACCCGGTTCTCCCCCAGCTGGGGGAGCGGCGGGCGGGGGGCCGGGGGGCCGGGGTGGGGGGCCGTGGCCGGGCCCCTGGCCTCCCCGCCCCCGGGGTGGCCGGCTGCAGCCCCCCGGCTACCTGAAGAAGGGCAGGTGGTGTTGGCTCAGGACGCTGCTGCTGCGGGGGGACTCTGTCTTCGCCATGACGTCCTTGAACCAAGTGGCCACGTCCACGTCCAGCGTCTCGTAGCGCTTGATGAAGCTGTGTTCCTGCAGGCCGAGGTCAAGGGTCAGCGCAGGCTGGCCCAGGGCGGGGGTGCTGGGGGCAGGGGCAGGACTGGGGGGGGGGGACCCAGTACTCACAAGTAGCTTATTATACTTTGGTCTCTTCCTGTGATCTTTAGTAAGGCTGCGAGAGGCGGAGACGGGAAGCGAGTTAGTAGCCGGGCACGGTGGGGGGGGAAGGGGGGGGCTCAGCTGCCCCCCCTCCCAGCGGCTCCCCCGCATCCGTCCCACTCCTTGGAAGCTTCCTGAGAGCTGGGGTGGGGTGGGGTGGGGGCTTGCTTGGGGGAAAGGGCTCTGTCAAGAGGCCCTGAGAAGACTCGCAAGATGCCACCTCCAGGGGCTGGAGCGATGGCACAGCGGGTAGGGCGTTTGCCTGGCACGCGGCCGATCCGGGTTCGATTCCCAGCATCCCATAGGGTCCCCCGAGCACCGCCAGGAGTCATTCCTGAGTGCAGAGCTAGAGGGAACCCCTGTGCATTGCCGGGTATGACCCAAAAAGCAAAAAAAAATAAAAAAAATAAAAAAATAAGGTGCCACCTCCACTGAAAAAGCCACAGCCCTGAGCGAGACCAGGTGGACGGTGGAGGCGGCCCAGAAGCAGTGGCTGTGCGGCAAAGGCCCCCTGCTGGTCATGGCTGCACTGGGCCAGCCCCGAGGGTCACGAGTGGCCGAGCCGCACATGCCGCCCTCCCTGGACCACTCCCACGCCCGGCCGTCTCTCCACCATCACGCCTCCTTCGTGGAGCCCCTTCCCACCCCAGCTCCAGGCCCCAAACCCCTCCAGGCGCCAGGAGTGCAGGGTGTTCCCACACTCCCCCCACCCGCCGTGACCGCCCCCCAGCTCACCAGTCTTTGACGAAGGACTGGAAGTCCCCCGAGAAGTCCATGTGGCCGGGCAGGAGCGGGGGCTCCTCCTGCAGGACCTTGGTGAGGACCTCGAAGTCCGTCTTGCAGTTCTTGTAAGGGAACTGCCCCGTGGCCAGCTCCACCTAGGAGAGACCCGGGCGGGCGGGGCTGGCAGGGACACAGCGGCAGCCCCTCCCTGCTCCCTCTGTGCCCCCCAAAGACCTTCCCAACGACGCCCCCCCAGCTCCCGCAAAAAAGGGGGCCACAGCTCACCAATGAAATGCCCAGGCTCCACACGTCGGCCCGGATGTCGTAGTCGGGTTTGGTGGGGTCCGGGGGGTCGATGCGCTCAGGCTGCGGAACGGGTGAGAAAGGTGAGGCTGCGCCTCGGGGAGCTGGGGCAGGGGGCACCCCGGCCCCGGCCCCACCCAGGGGCACGCCACCCACCGCCATGTAAGCGGCGCAGCCGGCGCTCCGCGTCTTGGCCTTGGAGTCCACGAGGCGGCCGCTGATGCCGAAGTCGCAGAGTTTGATCTGGCCCCGCTCGTCCAGCAGGATGTTGGAGGGTTTGACGTCGCGGTGGATCACGCCGTGCTTCTCCTTCAGGTAGAAGAGCGCCTTGACGATCTGGGACGCGGGCGGAGACACGGGCGATGGTGAGGGTGGCCCGACGCCCGCCCGCGCCCTCCCCTCTTCCCTCCACTGCCCCCAGCTCACCGCCACTGTCATCTTGCCCAGGATCCGCTCCGGGATGGGGCCCTGCACCCGCTTCTTGAGTTTCTCTGCACACGTGCCCATCAGCTCCATGGCAATAAAGACGTCCGTCTGGGGGAGGGCCAAGAGGCTGGGGGCGGCTGGACCCTCAGGGCCCACCTGTCCCCAGGGCAGGGCTCAGAGGCGAGGCCCGATTCCCAGGGGCAGGACAAGAGCGTGGCCTTCTAGGGAGTACAGTGACTTCCAAAAGGGTGGGTGGGGGGGGGGGACACAAAAGCGTAGCCTTCTTAGGGGCGGAGCCTTTGCAGCAAGGGCGGGGCAGGATCTTTTCTCAGAGGCGGGGTCTGGCTCGCAGGGGCGTGGCCTTCTCAGGAGCAGACGCCCAGAGGCCGGAGAAGGGCGTGGCCTACTCTAGGGGGCGGGGCCCGACTCCAGGGGTGGGGCAGAATCTTTTCTCAGAGGCGGAGCCTGGCTCGCAGGGGTGTGGCCTTCTCAAGAGCAGTGACTCTGAGCGCGGACAAGGGCGTGGCCTTCTCTAGGGGGCGGAGCCTGATTCCAGGGGCGGGGCAGGGCCTTTTCTTAGAGGTGGAGACTGGCTCCCAGGGGCGTGGCCTTCTCAGTAGTCTGACCTCCCAGAGGCAGGACTAGGGCGTGGCCTTTTCTCAGGGGCGGAGCCTTTACGGCAAGGGCGGGGCAGGATCTTTTCTCAGAGGCGGAACCTGGCTCGCAGGGGCGTGGCCTTCTCAAGAGCAGTGACTCTAAGACCGGACAAGGGCGTGGCCTTCTCTAGGGGGCGGAGCCTGATTCCAGGGGTGGGGCAGGGCCTTTTCTTAGAGGTGGAGACTGGCTCCCAGGGGCGTGGCCTTCTCAGTAGTCCGACCTCCCAGAGGCAGGACTAAGGCGTGGCCTTTTCTCGGGGGCGGAGCCTTTACAGCAAGGGCGGGGCAGGGTTTTCTCTCAAAGGCGGATCCTGGCTCGCAGGGGCGTGGTCTTCTCAGGAGCAGACTCCCAGAGGCCGGACAAGGGCGTGGCCTTCTCTAGGGGGCGGAGCCTGACTCCAGGGGTGGGGCAGAATCGTCTCAGAGGTGGAGCCTAGCTCGCAGGGGCGTGGCCTTCTCAGTAGTCTGACCTCCCAGAGGCAGGACTAGGGCGTGGCCTTTTCTCAGGGGCGGAGCCTGGTTCCCAGGGGCGGAGCCTGACTCTGGGGGCGGGGCCTCATCTCAGGGGCACGACGCTCACATTGGTGATGAAAGTCCCGAAGCACTGCACGATGTAGGGGCAGTCGTGGCTCTTGAGCACCACGTCCAGGTCCATGAGGATCCGCTTGTTCTCTTCCTTGTTCCCAGAGCGCCGCATTTGCTGCACAGAGTCGGGGCTCACCTCAGCACACGGGGGACGGGTCCCCTCCATCCCCAGGTCTGGGGGCTGTGTGTGTGGGGTGGGGACAGACTCACCTTGACAGCGATGATGTGCCCCGTAGTCCGGAAGCGCATCTTCCACACCTGGCCGCAGGTGCCACTGCCCATCTCCCCCAGGTTCTCCAGGTCACTGATTTCTGCCTGGTAGCGCTGGCGGGGGGGCAGTCCGGAATTGAGGGGCTGCTGGGTCTTTGCCCAGCCCGCCCCCACCACCCCAGGGGCTGAGGGAAGGGGGTACCTGGCCCCCGATGGTTAGATAACCCGTCTGCTTCATGATCTCTTGCAGCTTCTGGTCGATCTCGATGCTGGGGGAACAGAGGGCGGCGTGGTCGTGAGAAGGGGACCCCACCCCACCCGAGTGCCTCCCGCAGGGGCGTCCAGGGGGCATCGCCCCTCCCCACGTGGGCCTGCCCCAGCTCACCTCTCCATGCTGCGGGGTGCGAACAGCGTGGACGGGAGTCCCAGCATGTGGCGGGGCCGGCTGGGGGGCGTGGGGTGCTGTGGGGTGCTCTCCGAGGACGGTGAACGGGTGCCCCCATCGTTGACCAACGGGAGTGGCAGGGCTGGGGGGGGGGAGAGCCAGGGGCAGGGAAGGGGTGAGCTCCCAGCCACCCGAGACCCAGGGCTGCCACTGGGGGGTGGGGGGGCGCTCACCTGATCCCCGTGGGACTGCCCAGGCAGGTCAGTACTGCTCTTCGCCCCCCCCCCCCCCCACAAGCCTGGGCTAGAGGAGCTGGGACTCCCCTCGGCACCCCCAGATCATCCTGAGAGGGTGCCTGCTCCCAGCCCGCCAGGGAGTGGGCTGCAGGGGAGGGGGCACCCAGAGGCTGAAGCTTCCCCCCGGAGTCTACGTTAGCAGAAAAATGAGGCCCCAAGGCTATATCCTAATGGTGCCCCCTCAGCCGGGTGCTCCCTGTGCTGGGACCGCCCCCCTTCGTTCTTCTCTGTCCAGCCCGTGCCTGGCTGGCAGCAGCACTGAGCCCACCCTGCCAGGAACCCAGGGACCCCCCCAATCCCCCACCACTGGAGGCCAGCTCATCTGTACCACTCCCGCCTGGCCTGCCGAGCTGGGGCCCAGAGGGGCAGTGGCCGGACTCCAGGCCGGGTCTCTCTACTCTGGGGGGCCCTGGCACTCCAGAGGCTGGCAGAACAGGGGGTCTTGGGGGTGAGGTGGTCTCGTTCTCCCCAGCAGCCTGCATGCAGACAGCTCGGACATGCTACAGGCAGGCGGGGCGGGCAGGCGGGCAGCGGGCGGGCAGCGGGCACCCCAGGAGGGGCAGGCGGTATTAGGGGAGGGGTGCAGACAGACAGACTTGGGGCTCAGCCGCATGGAGACAGGCCGGAGAGAGGCCCAGGCCAGGGGAGAGCAGGTTCTGGGGGGCCTGGCCCGGATGGGCAGCAGAAGGGGGTTTCCATCCCAGAGACCGGGGCCTGTCCTCCTCCCCCTGGCCCGCGGGCGCCCCTTCTCCCACCTGGCCGAAGGTGGGGGACACACAGCAGCGGAGCTGCGGGTGGCCAGGCCCTCTGTCGCCCTGTGGGGACCCGAGTGGAGGCACCCCTGACTAGCCGGCAGGGCGCAGAGGCCACAAGGGCCTGGCCCCTCTAAGAAGCAGCTCTGGCAACCCGGGGCATATGGCCAGGCCTGGTGTCCCCCGAGTGTCTGCTTCAACCACATCAGGGTCCTTGCCCTCCCTCTCTGGCTTGACAGCCTATAGAGCCCCCCACTTTCCCCTGCACCCCAACACTGGAGGACCCTCCTCACACCTCAGGGGCTCGATTGGTTCCTATCTTGAAGGCGATGGGCTGCCTCAGAATCTGGGCCCCAGAAATGAAGTGCGATGTGGGGGGGGGGTTAAGAGGGGCTGGTGGGAAGGTGGGGGCAGGGGCGGAGACGCACCAAGAGTGGGTGAGAACAGAGATCTGAAAGGGGGTGATGGGCACCGGGGGCTCAGGAGAGGGAGCCGGGGCGGGGCTGGGTGGGGCATCCCCACGAGCACTCACACACACTCACACACACACACACACACACACACACACACACACACACGCACGCACGCATGCACACCCGAGTAGCCCATCGGGAGCTGCAGAGATGAGCTCAGGACCCAATGCTCTTGCGTGCCCTGACACAGGGAGATGTGGCCAGCCCCCCTCATCCCCCCCTCTCTGTCTCACACACGCACGTACACATCACACCCCTGCTCTCCTCTTCAGCCTCCCACCGCGCCCACCCCCCAAGTCCCACTCTCTTCAGATGCTGTCCCCAAGCGGCCCTGCGGAACCTCAAACCCTGTTCTGCTCTGCCATCCCCTAAGCTCCAGGTCACTCTTCCAGGAAACCCCACGCCCACCCCCAGGAGGCCAAGTGTGTGTGTGTGTGTGTGTGTGTGTGTGTGTGTGTGTGTCCCTGTCAAGGTCCCCAGCATGCTGAGGTCTGTTCAACAGCTGGAATAGAGTCGGGGGCACCGCCCCCCCAACCTGGTTCCATAAGGTTGCTTGCACGCGTACACACACACACACACACACACACACACACACACTCATGCAGAGCACACAGGGGGCCTCAGGTGGGTGAGCGGGGGCCCCATTTCCTCCTCTCGGGGTTCCCCGCTGGAGCAGGAGCTGGAAAAAGGAGCTGAGAAGACAGCGGGGGGCGGGCCCGAGACAAATGGGGTGAAAGGAGAGAGTCGGGGCGCAGGCGCACGGGCACACACAGCGGGAGCCAGGGTGGCATTCTGCGGCCGGGCAGCGGTTAGGGGGGTGGGGCGGGGGTCAGTGGTGCAGAGGCCCAAGCGGTGATGATAAAAAGGCTGGTACCTGCTCGTTGGGACGGGGCAGGAGCAGGGCTTAGAGTGATCACAATAACTGGATGGGGGGGAAAAAGGAAGAAAAAAAAAAAAGGAAACAAAAAAAAAAAACAAAACAACACCACGATAAATCACAACAGAAACCACCCATCCGTCCAACAGAAAAAGAAATCAAACCATGACGAGAAGGGGCCGAGGGCAGAGATGGGCGGAAACCGACAGATGGGTGCATGGGATGGAGCCGACCGACAAACGCCTGGGCGAGGGGGGCAGGGGGCGGGTGGGGGGTGACAGCCTGCGTGCCCTGGGCCTCGCCGTGCCACGCTACACAGCCGGGACAGCCACCCCGTGCCCTGGACCCCCACCTGTCCCCTTCACACTGGGGGGCCAACCCTCGGGGGGTGGGGGGGAGTTGTGGGCTTCCAGGCTCTCCTGCATCACTGCCTTCAGGACCCTTTCTGGGTCCCCCAAGGGACACTCCACCCCCACCCTGCCACTCTGGGAACAACCGACACCCCCTCCCCCAGGTGCCCGCAGGGAGTGGTGGGAAAGCCAGGCTGGGTGAACGGGGGGTGCTCAGGGTAGCTGATTGCAGGAATCTCTGACCTCTGCTTTTCCCAATGACCTCTGGGGGGGAGGGGTCAGCTGTCAGCCATCGGGGGTCAGTCGCCCCAGAAGGGAAATCGGCTGGATCCAAAAAAAAAAAAAATACTTCCAGGGCAGCTCTTTGTGGGGGAAGGGGGGGCCTTGCAGGGAGGGGGACATCTATGTCAGGGACCCAGAGGGAGGGAGGGAAGCTGTCCCGCCTGGCAAGTGGCCGACCCGGGTGCCATTCCCAGCGCTGCCCAAGGTTCCCTGACCCCTGGAAGCGGTGACCCCAGAGGCGGGAGTAAGCCGGGTACAGCCTCCAACAACACACGACCCAAACCCCCCAACCTAACAGGGGCCCCCGGCCTGAGCCAATGAGGGCGGGGGCGGGGGGGTGGGTTTTCTCTCTTGGACCCAACACGGACACCAGCTGTGGCCAGGCAGCTCCTTGGCCAGCGGTCAGTGCTGGAACTCCAGATGGGGTTGGGGGGGAGGGGGAGGGCACCGCACGGCAAGGGGGGAGGGGGAGGGGTCGTCGTCGGGAAACCCACTCCAGGAAAAGGGGGACAAGGTTGGAACGGGGACAGGGGCTGGGGGGGTGCCCAGGGGAGCGGAGGGGGGGGGTCATGGGACCCCAGGTGCGGCCCGGCCCAGATGTGCGTGGGCTGGCGACAAGCCCCCCCCCCCCCCCGGTCCCCACGCAGGCAGGAGGGTGCAGGGGCACGGACGCCCGGGGCGGAGGGTCGATCTCATCTTCTGGCCCACCCGGAGGCACCAGCACGTGCCCGCGGTGGCTCCTCCCCGCAGGTGACAGATGCGCCCGGGATCCCGGGGACCCGGCGCGCGGGTGGGCCGGCAGGTGCGGGGCGGGGTCGCGGGGCGGGGGGCGGGGGCTGGGGGCACCTGGCCGGGAAGGGAGGGGGCCGCCCGGGCCCCAGGCCGCGCCCGCCGGCCCCGCGCCCTCCCCTGCCCACCCCGGGTCACCGTGACCCTCGCCCCGCGAGACGCCGGCGCGCGGGGGGGAGGCCGGAGGGGCGGGGCGAGCGCGCCCCGGAAGCGGGGGCGGGGCCTGCCGGCGGGGGCGGGGCCTCCCGCCGCCGCGCGCGCCTCGCCCGCCCCCTCCCCCACGCCGCCGCGCTTACTGGGCCGGGGCCGCTGCGGGCTGATATCCAGGTTGAGGTCGATCCTCCGCCGGGCCTCGCGGTTCTCCTGCTTCAGCTTGGCCTCCAGGCGGGACAGCTTCTGCTCCAGGGAGGACGCCGCCATCTTCCCCGCCGCCGTCGCCGCCGCGCACCGCCCGGCCGCCCGTCAGTCCGGCAGACAAACACCGCACTGCGCCTGCGCCGGGATGACCCCGCCGAGCCGCCGTCTCTCCCGGCACGGCGCATGCTCGCGGCGCGCGCCCGCCCTGCTCGCCGCCGGCCCACGGCTGCGCACGCGCACTTCGTCCCGGGCGCCGCTCTGTCGCCACCTAGAGGCCCAGCCGGGCACTAGCCCGCCCATTCAACACACCCTTGGGGAAAAGGGGGGGGAAAAACCCCGAGGCGCGCATGCGCAAGCTGCCCGCCGCTCGGGGGCGTGGCAGCGAGCCACGCGTGCGCACTGGGGCCAGACGCGGTCACACGCGAGGCGGCCCCGGCTCCTGGTGCGTCCGCTCGATCTCCTGGTTGGGTCCCCAGCTTCCTCCTCGTTCTTTCCCGTTTTGGTCTGTTTCTTCGGCCAGCCTCCGGGCCGCCTCCTGGTTCTGCACTCCGGGATCGCTGCTGGCGGGGCTGGAGGTCGAAACACGTCGGACGCGTGCCAGGCAAACGCCCTCCCCTCGGTTTTTTTTTTTTTTTTGCTTTTTTTTTTTTTTTTGGGTCACTCCTGGCTCTGCGCTCAGGAATTACCCCTGGCGGTGCTCGGGGGATCATATGGGATGCTGGGGATCGAACCCGGGTCGGCTGCGTGCAAGGCAAACACCCTACCTGCTGTGCTATCTCTCCAGCCCCTGCACTTTTTTTTAATTTTTTTGCTTTTTGGGTCACACCTGGCAATGCACAGGGGTCACTCCTGGCTCATGCACTCAGGAATTACCCCTGGCGGTGCTCGCGGGACCATATGGGATGCTGGGGATCGAACCCGGGTCGGCCGCGTGCAAGGCAAATGCCCTCCCCGCTGTGCTATCGCTCCAGCCCTTCCCCTCGGTTTTATCGCTCCGGCTTGCTCCCAACTCTTCGTTCTTGCTGGTTCTGCCCAAGTTTGGCACCTACTTAGCCCTCGCTGAATGCCTGTCACGGTCCAGACAGTGCTTTAATGAAAGCATTAAATGAAAGCCCCGTTATGCTGCCACCTCCCTATAATTAGACACCGTGGGACGCGCTTTCATTACTTGCAAGTTTCGAGTTTGGCCAAGGACAGGCGGGAGGGGCGGGCTAAGGACTCGGGGCGACTGTCGCGGGGAATCTGGGAATCCACTGATGCGATTCCTGATGTGGGCAACGGGGCTGAGGTCCAGGACCACCAGCTCAGGGACATCCCAGTGGGACATTGAAGATATCTTCCCCCCCACACACACACCCCAATCTCTTCTGAAATGCAGCACCCCCTGTCCTCCTGCTCCCACTTCTGATGACAACGGAAAAGAGTCCCCAGCACTTGACTTTTTTTTTTTTTTTTGCTTTTTGGGTCACACCTGGCGACGCACAGGGGTTCCTCCTGGCTCATGCACTCAGGAATCAGCCCTGGCAGTGCTCAGGGGACCATATGGGATGCTGGGAATCGAACCCGGGTTGGCCACGTGCAAGGCGAACACCCTACGCGCTGTGCTATCGCTCCAGCCCCAGCACTTGACTTTTGAAGGGTGATCTCTGCTGCCATAATGGGTCCTTTAACGGGTTTAGAGGAGGACGCTGGGAAAAATGCCCCCATCTTCCAGGAGGTGAGAGAAGAACTTTGGGGGGACCAGGGAGCCAGTTTCTGCCCACCAGGAATGCACCCAGCTACTTGAACGACTTCCCTAGTCCCAAGAGGACAGTATTTGGGGCTGGAGTGATAGTACAGCAGGTAGAGCACTCGCGTTGCACACAGCAGAGCCAGGTTCGATTCCCGGCACCCCAAGTGGTCCCCAAGCACCCGCCCCCGGGAATGATGCTTGAGCACTGAGCCAGGAGTTAGGCTTGAGCACAGCAGGGTGTGTCCCAGGAACAAAGCAGGAGGACTGTATTCTGCAGAGACGGTGGTGACCAAGCAGGAGGTTATGGGACCAAGTTGGCTGTACTAAGTATCCAGCCTGGTGACACTAGGACAGGTGCTTAAGATTTGTGGGGACTCCTGGTGACAACTTAAAGGTGAAGCGTCTACAAGACTGCACTGGGACGGATGAAAGGGAAGAAGAGGGGGCTGGAGCAATAGCACAGCGGGTAGGGCGTTTGCCTTGCACGCGGCCGACCCGGGTTCGATTCCCAGCATCCCATAGGGTCCCCTGAGCACCGCCAGGAGTGATTCCTGAGTGCAGAGAGCCAGGAATAACCCCTGTGCATTGCCAGGTGTGACCCAAAAAGCAAAAAAAAAAAAAAAAAGAAAAAAGGAAAGAAGAGGGGCTGGAGCATAGTACAGCGGGTAGGACGTTTGCCTTGCACACGGCCCACCTGGTTTTGATCCCTGGCATCCCAGAATGTCACCCAAGTACCACCAGGAATAATTCCTGAGTGGAGAGCCAGGAGTAACCCCTGAGCAACATCGGGTGTAATGCAAAGAGACAAAAAAAAAAAAAAAAAGGAGGGGAAGAAGAAAAAGAGAAAGTGTAGGCCAAAGAGACAATACAGGAGGTAAGGTCTTTGCCTTGCATGTAGTCAACCTGGTTTGAATCCCTGGCATCACATCACAGGGTCCCCTGAGCACTGCCGGGGGTCACTCCTGAGTACACAATCAAGAATAATCCTAGGGGGCTGGAGAGATGGCACAGCGGGGAGGGCGTTTGCCTTGCACGCGGCCGACCTGGGTTCAATTCCCAGCAGCCCATATGGTCCCCTAAGCACCGCCAGGAGTAACTCCTGAGTGCAGAGCCAGGAGTTACCCCTGTGCATCGCCGGGTGTGACCCAAAAAGCAAAAAATAAACAAATAAATAAATAAATAATCCTAAAGGGACTGAAGCAATAGCACAGCAGGTAGGGCGTTTGGTAGCCCAGATTCGATCCCTGGCATCCCATATGAGTGCAAAACCAGAAGTAACCCCTGAGCACTGCCAGGTTTGACCTAAAAATCATGAAATAAAAATAATAGTTCCTTGGGGCTGGAGCCATAGCACAGCGGGTAGGGCGTTTGCCTTGCATGCGGCCGACCTGGGTTCGATTCCCAGCACCCCATATGGTCCCCCAAGCACCGCCAGGAGTGATTCCTGAGTGCAGAGCCAGGAGGAACCCCTGAGCATCAGCTGGGTGCAACCCAAAAAGCAAAATAATAATAATAATAATAATAATAGTTCCTGAGCTACTTCTGGGCGTTGGCTCACTTATAACCCCTACTGTCCCCACCCCCCCATGAAGAAAGACAAGTGAAAACATTTTCCAGGGAAATGGCTAATTGGGTTGCATTACATGGTTTGCATGCTGAAATTACGGGTTCAAAACCCAGCATCGGGGCTGGAGCGATAGCACAGCGGGGACGGCGTTTGCCTTGCACGTGGCTGACCCGGGTTCGATTCCCAGCATCCCATATGGCCCCCTGAGCACCGCCAGGAGTAACTCCTGAGTGCAGAGCCAGGAGGAACCCCTGTGCATCGCTGGGTGTGACCCAAAAAAGAAAAAAAAAACCAGCGTCAACCAGTCCCCAAAGCACTCAATCCAGAGTAGCCCCCGAGAACCCCCAAACAGCTAGGCAGACAATGCTATCTACTTCCTCTCATAGATCAGCTAAGCTCTCCACACCCCCACTCTCATCTCCCCTTTTCAGCATCTCTGATCCCCGGATAGAGGTTAGACCTTTGACACATGCACTGGAATGGCGCCACCGACCTAACCAGTGACAGAAGAGACTTAGAAGAAATTAGCACAAGCGATCAGAACAATAGTTCTCATGGGTAGCATTTATTAAGCACCCACAGATCTGAGTGTCCTTGCAAGAGTGCAAAAAAAATGCATGGTCCACCATTCATGCACCACCTCCCACAGTAGCGCCCCCTGGAGGACCCAACGGAAACTGCTGGGTGCTGAAAATTACTAGCAGAACCTCGTGTAGGTTGTGGTGCCCGTAGGTGTATTTTCCCAAGGAGAAAATTCCCGTCGTAAATTCCATCAGAGTCCCTGCCTGAGACCCGAACTTCTTCTTTTTTTTTTTTTTTGCTTTTTGGGTCACACCCAGCGATGCTCAGGGGTTCCTCCTGGCTCATGCACTCAGGAATCGCTCCTGGCGGTGCTCGGGGGACCATACGGGGCGCTGGGAATCGAACCTGTGTCGGTCAACGCCCTACCCGCCGCGCTATCACTCCAGCCCCGAGACCCGAACTTCTTCAGCTGTGGCTCACAACTGGTCACATCGCTGAATGAGGGGGGTCGCAGAAACGATCGGGCAACAGAGGTTCCTGAACATGCAATGACCAAAATTAAATCAGAGCCAGTGGGAGAAATTCAGATGAGCACATGCTTTGTATGTGGGGCCCAGTTCCATCGCCGGGTCAACACAGTTTCCAGACGAGAGGAACTCCTGAGCACGGAGCATGGAATACACAACCCCCCGCAAAAAATATATATATATAATCCAAATTCAACTGTGTCATAAATTCCAGGTAGTTTCTGGCAGTGCTCATTTTTATTGCATGTCTTCAGGCGAAAAGGGGTCCCTCGTGGAAAAACTCGAAGGGGAGAGAGGTCAGCGGGCAAGGCCAATCCTGGTTTGAACCCTGGCATCACATGTGGTTCTCCTAGCACCGCCAGGGGTCACTCTTGAGCAGAGAATCAGGAGAAGTCCCTGAGCACCACTGGGTACAGCCCCCCACCCCATAGAAACAAGATCGCGACCCCCATCCCAATAGCCTCATTTAGACCCCCAAAGATCCTGCCAGCCAACACATCCACACACAGCCCTGGGTCACCTGCTTCAAAGTTACGCGGGCTTCTGAGTTACCGACAAGTTCCTGGTCTCCTTCCAAAGTTCCTAAGTCAATTTTTAGGGGTGGGGCCTGGAATGTTACGGTGTGTTCCTGGGTTTTGTTTTGCTTTAAGGGCAACGAGGTTGATCTTATTGCCTTGCCAAACATGAGAACCATTTCCCCCCCTCCCCCCCAAGTCCGTAACCTGCAGAGCAAACCACATATAAATAAGGAAATCGCATCAAGTTAGGGGCAAGGGACTTTTTCCGTGGCGTCTGTGTCCTCTCCTTGGGAGAGAACCCCAGATACAAGCAATTAGGTTGCAGGGGGGGGACAGGGTTGAAATCCCATTGGGATGGTCCCCTCCCCCCGTAGGTAGTGACGTCGGAGGAGGACTGGGTGGGAGGCGGGGGGGGGGGGGGGGGGGGAACAGGAGAAGCACAGCCTCACCTGGCCCCGGGCAAGGGCGGGGTGGGTGGGGGTGGGGGCGGGGTAGCCAGGCCTGCCAGCCGGAGAACACAGGGGTGGGGTGTCTCTGAGGATCCCACGGTCTGAGTTAATCCCTCCATGACGTACCACCCCCAATCCACAGCGTCTGCATCTCCCCAAACCAGTCTTGGGATCTTGCCTGGGCTCCGGGCTGGCGTATTTGCGACTTCTCTCCTGGCCCCTGGCCCAGGTGGCCGCCTCCCTTCCAAACCTTCCAAAAGAGCCAAAGCAAGAGCCAGCAAGGGATGGAGGGGGCGGGGCCGGCTGGAAGCCCCGCCCACGAGACGCCCCGCCCCTCACTCCTCCTCCATCCGGTCCGCACCTCAGCGGGTAGGGCATCCTACAGGGCCGGCAGGGATGGAGGGGGCGGGGCCGGATGAAAGCCCCGCCCCTCGACGCCCCGCCCCCTTCACTCCTCCTCCATCCGGTCCGCACCTCAGCGGGCAGGGCTTCGTATAGGGCCGGCAGGGATGGAGGGGGCGGGGCCGGATGAAAGCCCCGCCCACGAGACGCCCCGCCCCCTCTCTCCTCCTCCATCCGGTCCCGCACCTCAGCGGGCAGGGCTTCGTACAGGGCCGGCAGGGATGGAGGGGGCGGGGCCGGCTGGAAGCCCCGCCCACGAGACGCCCCGCCCCCTCACTCCTCCTCCATCCGGTCCGCACCTCAGTGGGCAGGGCATCCTACAGGGCCGGCAGGGATGGAGGGGGCGGGGCCGGCTGGAAGCCCCGCCCCCACGACGCCCCGCCCCCTCACTCCTCCTCCATCCGGTCCGCACCTCAGCGGGCAGGGCATCCTACAGGGCCGGCAGGGATGGAGGGGGCGGGGCCGGCTGGAAGCCCCGCCCACCCCACGCCCCGCCCCCTCACTCCTCCTCCATCCGGTCCCGCACCTCGGCGGGCAGAGCATCGTACAGGGCGTCCTCCACCAGGAGCCCGGCTCTCTTGAGCCCCCCGCAGCTGCCGAGTTCCTCGGGCAGCCCTTCCAGGCGGTTGCCCTTGAGCTCCAGGCGGCTGAGAGCCCGGAGGGCCCCGACCTGGGGCGAGAGCTGGCTCAGATGGTTGTAACCCAGCAGCAGAGTCCGCAGCTTGCGACAGCTGAAGAGCTCCTCGGGCAGCGTCTCCAGGGCGTTGTAGGAGAGCGCCAGGTGCTGCAGGTTCTGGAGCAGGCCCAGCTCGGGGGGCAGCGCCCGCAGCCCGTTGTGCGCCACGTCCAGCAGGCGGAGGCCCGAGCACATGCCCAGCTGGCTGGGAAGCGTCTCCAGCTTGTTGTGGCTCAGGTACAGCTGCTCCAGGCCCCGCAGCTTGCGCACGTGCTCGGGGACGTAGGCGATCTGGTTGTGCCACAGCCGGAGCGTCACGAGCTTGCGACAGTGCTGGAAGCTGAGGATCTCCTCGATGGAGCGCAGGTGGTTGTCCTGGAGGTCCAGCTCCTGCAGCGCGCCCAGGCTGAAGACGGCGTGGGGGATGCGCTCCAGGCCACAGGCCACCAGCTCCAGCTCGCGCAGCGCCGCCAGCTTCTTGAGGCTGTTGAGGGCCACCAGGCGCGCCCCGTCGTTGTGCAGGCTGAGCCGCTGCAGGTGGCCGGCCACATCGGTCACGCTGGCCGGCACCTTGCCCGCGTTGCTCCGGAGAGACAGCACCTTGAGCTGTTTCAGCTCCCGCAGGCTCTCCAAGTTGGCGGCGCGCGCCAGTTCCGGGGGGAAGAGCCCCTCCAGGTGCAACTCCTCCAGCCCCCGCAGACCGAACACCCAGAGGGGCACCTCCCGGAGTTCCTCGCACTTGACCCGGATGACCTTGAGGCGGTCCCGCAGGAAGATCTGCGAGGAGAAGGGCAGCCGGGCGGGCGAGTGCAGCAAACTGAGTTCCTGGAGCTGGACCAGTTGGGAGAGGCCAGGGGGGAAGGTGATGTCGCCCACGGCTTCCAGCCGCAGCGCCTCCACCTCGCTGCCCAGCTCGAACACAGTGTCCGGCAGGCCCGGCAGCATGCACAGTGCCAGCTCCTGCCGGCCCCGCGCGTTGCGCTGCAGTTTCTGTCGCAGCTTCTCGGGCGTCCACTCGTGGTTGAGGTTGAGCTGTTTGAGGCGGCTCTCACTGACCTCGGAGAGGAAGACGGCAAAGCGCTTGGAGTAGAGCGAGTCGTACTGGTCGATGAGGTGGAGCATGAAGGCGAAGTCGTTCTTGACGTCGGGGATGTCGCCCATGCCCGTCTCCTCGCGCACCGAGCGGAAGGAGTACTCCTTGAGAGGTCGGTGGAAGAGCCAATAGAGGGTGTAGAGGCACGTGAGCCCGTAGACGCACACGAAGGAGATGTAGCAGAAGGCCAGCTTGGAGAAGAGGTGGGCCTTGGTGTGGTTGCAGCAGAAGCTGGCGTAGCCCGTCACCTCGGACGTCTCCACCCGGCACGACACCAGGAAGCTGATCTTCTCCACGTAGACCACGTTGTAGACCAGGATGGCCAAGAACTTGCAAACCTGGGGGAGGCAGGACGGCGGTAAGGCGCTGGCCTTGCTCACAGCTGAGCCTGGTTTCTGTCGTGGGGCCCACACCAAACGGGGCTCAGGGCTGACTCCGGGCTCTTTGCTCAGGGATCGTTCCTAGTGGGTCTCCGAGGACCCTGTGTGATCTTGGGGGATTGAATCTGTTGCATGCAGAGAAGACAACCTACCCACTAGACTCTCTCTCTCTCTCTGGTCCCTGATCCTGGTTTGATCCCTGGCACTGGATAGGGACCCCGGACCACTGTCAGGAGTGATCCCTGAGCTCTGAGCCAGGAGTAGGCCTGGAGCACCTCGGGTGTGACCCCAACCCCTCAACTCCCCATGTGCACCCCAAATAACTTGCAAACTGGGCCAGGGCCATGGTACAACAGATAAGGTGCTTGCCTTGCACGTGGCCAACATAGGTTTGATCTCCGGAACCCCATAGCGTCCCCAAAGCACTGTCCGGAGTTATCCATGAGCTCAGAACCAGGAAGAAGCCCCGAGTACCACAGATGTGGCCCCCAAAATCAAAAGAAAGAGTGGCCGGAGCCATAGCACAGAGGGGAGGGCGCTTGCCTTGCACATGGCTGACCCAGATTTGATTCCTGGCATCCCATATGGCCCCCTGAGCTCGCCAGGAGTAATTCCTCAGCACAGAGTCAGGAGTAAGCCCTGAGCATCACCAAGTGGGGCTGGAGCTATAGCACAGCGGGGAGGGCGTTTGCCTTGCACGCAGCTGACCCTGGTTCGATTCCCAGCATCCCATATAGTCCCCAGAGTACCGCCAGGAATAACTCCTGAGTGCAGAGCCAGTAGGAACCCCTGTGCATTGCTGGGTGTGACACAAAAAGCAAAAAAAAAAAAAAAAGTACTAACCTTAAGCACTGTCTGCCGGATGTACATAGTATACAGGATGTCCCCTTCTTCTACATGGACACGGAACTTCTTGACCTTCTCAAACAGGGCCTTGGCCTGTTCACCCTCCTTCTTGTCCAGCAGGGTGACCACCGGCGGCTCAGTCACCACCTTCTCGGGCTCGGCCAGCACTTTCTCCTTCTCACCCTCAGCCGCCTTCCCTGGCCCGGTCACAGTGACCACCGCTGCCGCTGCTGCCGCCCGGCCGACCACAGGGCCTTTGTTATTCTCCCCAGAGACCTCAGACAGGGCCCGTGTGGTCCAGGGCGAGTCAAAACACTTGCCCAGGATGGAGATGAAGTGCTCGATCTTGGAGCTGGTACCCGGGAACTTGAACCAGAAACTGGTGCACACCATGAAGATAAGCGTGTGGATGACCACCAGGTAGGGGAAGTACTTGGCGTACCAGTGCAGAGCCGTCTCGTAGCACAGCTGGTTGATGAAACTATACTGTTGCAGGTCCAGGTTGTTTTTGAGGCCGCTGACCTCCCGCAGGCCGTCCCCCTGCTCTGTGACCCCCCTCGGGAGCAGCTGCTGGCACGGGGCTTCCGACTGATTCTCCCGAGACTCGTGACTAGGCAGACAGATGATCTTGTCCTGGGTCACCTGAAGGGGTGTGGGGTGAGGGGAGAGGATCAAAGAGAGCGAACGAGAGAGCTGGCGCTGGCCCTCCCTGTGTGGCCAACCTGGGTTCGAGCCCCAGCATCCCACAGGGTCCCCTGAGCCCCGCCAGGAGTGATCCCTGCGTGCAGAGCCACGAGGAAGCCCAGAGCACCGCTGGGGGTGGCCCCGAGACAAACCCCAAAATGAGGGTGGGGCTGGAGAGATAGCACAGCGGGTAGGGCGTTTGCCTTGCACGCGGCCGACCCGGGTTCGATTCCCAGCATCCCAGATCGTCCCCTGAGCACCGCCAGGAGTAACTCCTGAGTGCAGAACCAGGAGGAACCCCTGTGCATCGCCAGGTGTGACCCAAAAAGAAAAAACAAAACAAACAAAAAACCAAAAATGAGGGTGAAAGAGCTTTGCTGGCCCTGAGAGTTGTTGTAGGGATGGACAGAGGCAGGAGAGAAGCGGGTGAAAGGCGGAAGGGACCTTTCTTTCCGAAAGCTGGTTGGAATTTCAGACTCTTAGTCTGATAGTACTTTGTGACAGCTTAGGTTTGGATGCTGCCAGGTTTTTTCTAGATACTGGGAGGAGAAAACCCAGTACTAGGACCAGAGGCAGACAGAATACAATAAAGTTAAGCAAATGCTTTGCAAGTAAGTGGGAGGCACCCTGCAGAATTCCAAACACTGTATTTTCCCTACCCTCAGCACCCTGGGTGTGGGCCCCACACAAAAGCAATCAAAACCCCCGGTATCACAAAAGAAAGGGCAGGGACCAAAGAGATAGCACAGTGGGTGGGGGTTAGGCTTGCCTTGCACGCCTACTGGCTGACTCTTGCTTCCATAATCCCTGGGACCCCATAGGCTTTTCCTAAGCCCTGCCTGTGGCTGATCCGAGTTGGAGTCCCCAGCATCCTATAGGGTCTCCCGAACAACTTCAGGAGTCCTTTCTGAGTGCAGAGCCTGGAGGAAGCCCTAAACATTAGTGGGTGTGACCCAAAACCAAAAAAGAAAAGAAAGGGCTGCCCATCCCAGAGGTGCCACTGGAGGTGCTGGCAGGAATGGGAAAGTGTCAGAATGGGTCTGGGTGGGAGTGTCCTGCAGTCATTTCTGGACTCCCGGCCCACCCTGACCAGGCTCTGCCCTGATGACCCAGCCTCCCCAAGCCCCGCTCCCGATCAAGCCCTGCCCCATCAGACCCTGCCTAGGTTGGGCACCGCCCCACAAAACCCAGCCCCGCCCACAACACCCCTCGACCAGAACCCGCCTCCCCAAGCCCCGCCCATCAAACCCTGCCTGGATTGGGCATTGCCCCACCAGGCCCCGCCCTGAACAGGCTCCGCCTCCCCAAAGCCCCGCCCCATCACACCCTGCCTGGATTGGGCATCCCCCACCAAGCCCCGCCTCACCAGACCCCGCGCTTCGAACAGGCCCGCCTCCCCAAGCCCCGCCCATCAAACCCTACCTGGATTGGGCATTGCCCCACCAAGCCCCGCCCCCGAACAGGCTCCGCCTCCCCAAAGCCCCGCCCCATCAAACCCTGCCTGGATTGGGCATTGCCCCACCAAGCCCCGCCCCCGAACAGGCTCCGCCTCCCCAAAGCCCCGCCCCATCAAACCCTGCCTGGATTGAGCATTTCCCCACCAAGCCCCGCCCCAAACAGGCCTCGCCTCCTCAAGCCCCAATCAGACCCTGCCTGGAATGGGCATTGCCCCACCAAGCCCTGCCCCTAACAGGCTCCGCCTCCCCAAAGCCCCGCCCCATCATACCCCGCCTGGCTTGTGCATCACCCCATCAAGCCCCGCACCACCAGACCCCCGCTTCGAACAGGCCCGCCTCCTCAAGCCCCGCCCATCAGACCCTGCCTGGATTGGGCATTGAGCCACCAAGCCCCGCCCCAAACAGGCCCCGCCTCCCAAGCCCCGCCCATCAAACCCTGCCTGGTTTGGGCATTGCCCCACCAAGCCCCGCTCCACCAAACCCCGCCTCCCCAAGCCCCGCCCCATCATACCCCGCCTGGATTGGGCATCCCCATCAAGCCCCGCCCCACCAGACCCCGCCCCCGAAGCCCCGCCCCACCAGACCCAGCCCCGACAGGCACCGCCTCCCTAAAGCCCCGCCCCATCATACCCCGCCTGGCTTGTGCATCACCCCATCAAGTCCCGCACCACCAGACACCCCCCCTTCAAACAGGCCCGCCTCCCCAAGCCCTGCCCATCAAACCCTGCCTGGATTGGGCATTGCCCCACCAAGCCCCGCCCTTAACAGGCTCCGCCTCCCCAAAGCCCCGCCCCCATCAAACCCTGCCTGGATTGGGCATTGCCCCACCAAGCCCCGCCCTGAACAGGCTCCGCCTCCCCAAAGCCCCGCCCCATCAAACCCTGCCTGGATTGGACATTGCCCCACCAAGCCCCGCCCCAAACAGGCCCCGCCTCCCAAGCCCCGCCCATCAAACCTGCCTGGATTGGGCATTGCCCACCAAGCCCCGCCCCGAACAGGCCCCACCTCCCAAGCCCCGCCCATCAAACCCTGCCTGGATTGGGCATTGCCCCACCAAGCCCCGCCCTGAACAGGCCCCACCTCCCAAGCCCCGCCCATCAAACCTGCCTGGATTGGGCATTGTCCCACCAAGCCCCGCCCCACCAGACCCCGCCCCGACAGGCACCGCCTCCCTAAAGCCCCGCCTGGATTGGGCAGCGCCTCCCCAAGCCCCGCCCCTTACCTGCAGGGTGCAGCCGAAGACCCCAATCATGAGCATGGCCACAGTGAGGTATTCTGCCAGCACATCCCACCAGGGTTTCAGCACCTTGAAGGCAGGTTGCTGCTCCGTGAACTGCTTAAACTCGGCCACGGGAATCATCCTGCGAATGGGGAAGAGGAGAGGGAGAAGGAAGGCGTGGGGTGGTGGGTCTGGAAAGGACCCCCGGGCTGCGTGGGTCCCCGTGGCCTCTGAGCCCCGCTGTCCCCCGCCGCCCCCGCGCCCCCAGCCTCACCTCCTTCCTTCCCCGAGCCGAGTGCTCAGCCCTTGGCCACCCCTGGCCTGCGGTTCTCTTCAGCACCCAGGAGTGGCCGAGCTCAGGGCCCGGGCTGTGGCCTCCTGCCGGAATCCTGCCATGTCCAGCCCACCCGTGGCGCCGAGCCCGGACGGGCCCGGCCCCTCTGCCCAGATCCAGACACCCCTGGGTCGGGCCCTTCAGCTCCAGGATTCAGGCCGAAGCTCGGGACTTCCGGGGCGTGGGCCACCCCCTCCTGCCCCCTACAGGGACACACTGGGCACCACCTCCAACCGGAAAAGCCGGCTGGGGCCTGGTTCTGGTTACGGGGCCCCAAGGGCAGGGATTGGCAAAGCTGGTCATTCCTTTGGGGGGGGTTGTTGGGGTGAGCCCCAGAGGGGGGCAGCCCGGAACACTGAACACCTGGGTTTGTGGAGGGGCCCAGTCCCCGGCTCCCGGGTGGATGCCAGCGCCCCCCTCCACACCAGGAGGGGCGGGCAGGGTGGTGGTGCCAGGATGGCTGGAGGCAGAGGTTCCGGATGTGGGCATGACTCTGGGAGCCAGCCAGCGTGACACCTACGACTGACAGGGCCAGGCCTGGCAGCCGGACTCCCGGGCAACTGGCCCACTCCGTCTGTCCCTGGCTTTCATTTTGCACCAAGGTATCATTAGTCCCCGAGCCAGACAGACAGCCATGCCCCACGCGTGTCACATGGGGGCAGAGGTGGAACTGGGCTGGGGCCTCCCCCCGCTCCCCCTCTCCCCGGGGTTGCTGGAGCAAAGGGAGGGCACACTTTTTTGTTTGTTTGTTTGTCTGTTTTTCTGTTTTGGGCCACAACTGGCGATGCTCAGGACTTACTCCTGGCTCTGCACTCGGGGATCACTCCTGGCGGGGCTTCGGGGGCCCTAATGACATACCGGGGATCGAACCCAGGTTGGCCACATGCGAGGCAAATGCTGTACTATATCTCTGGCCCCCCCCATTTTTTTTCTTTTTGCTTTTTGGGTCACACCCGGCGATGCACAGGGGTTACTCCTGGCTCTGCACTCAGGAATCACCCCTGGCGGTGCTCAGGGGACCATATGGGATGCTGGGAATCGAACCCAGGTCGGCAGCGTGCAAGGCAAACGCCCTACCCGCTGTGCTATTGCTCCAGCCCCTCTCTGGCCTCTTTTAAATATTAAAAAAAAAAACATCTGGGGCGGGGAGGGACACAAATCCTATAGGACTCCGACACCAACTACCCTATCCTGGAGCCAGGATCCCCCAACCAATGCCCTGTTTGCCCCCCACAGGGATCTTGAAGATTCAGGGCACAGGCTGGGCAGGAAAAGGGGCCCCCTGCAGTGGAGTGGCAGGGAGATAGCTTGATGGCTGGGGCATGGACCACGTGCAGGAGGCTGGGTTCCATCCCGAGCACTGAGCTGTGAATAGCCCCTGAGCACCACCAGGCATAGCAAACAATATTTTTTTTATAAAACACACACACTCACACAGGGGGCTGGAGCAATAGCACAGCGGGTAGGGCATCTGCCTTGCATGCGGCCGACCCTGGTTCGATTCCCAGCATCCCATATAGTCCCCTGAGCACCGCCAGGGATAATTCCTGAGTGCAGAGCCAGGAGGAACCCCTGTGCATTGCCAGGTGTGACCCAAAAAGCAAAAAAAAAAAAAAACACACATACACATATATGTGTGTGTGTGTGTGTGTATATATATATATATATATATATGTATATTTCAGCCAAAGAAATTGTACAGCGGGTAGGCCACTTGCCTTAACACAAAGGTCCCTCAAGCACAGTCTAAGAGCCAGAACTAAGCCTGAGCATAATTGGGGGTGGTCTCCACACACACGTGTGTGTATGTGTGTGTGTGTGTGCACATTATACACATACACACATACACACAAAGCCAGCAGAGGCCTGGTTTTATACGCACACACACACACACACACACATAGGTGGAGAAAGATTATGAAGGTGAAGAGCGTGGCTTGCACACAGCTGACCCCGGTTCGATCCCCAGAACCACATACAGTCCCTTGAGCCTGCCTGGGTGACCCCTGAGCACCACTGTGTGCCGTCCAAACCCTCCTCCCCTCAGATACAGAGAGAGGCGAGGGTTCAAGAGATAACTCAATGGGCTGGACACGTTTTGGGGTTTCCTTGTTTGTTCGTTTTTTTGGGGGAGAATCCAGGCAGCTCAGGGAGTTCACCTAGTTGGGGCTCAAGGGACTATATGGGTTGCCGGGGATTGAACCAGGTTAGCTGTGTGCAGGGTAAGCGCCCTCCTCATAGTCCCATTGCTTCGGCCCCAGAGCACATGCTTTGTTCATGGGAGCCCCAAGTTCCATTTCAGGCACTGCATCTGGTCCACCAGCACCCCCAGGAGTGATCCGCCTCTCCAAGCACCAAGCCTGAGTAAGATCTGAGTAGCACTGGATGTGGCCCCCGAGGTAACAGCATCTAGATGGATCTCTCACTTCACATCCGTCTCCTGGGAAGGGCCCTGTCCCCCAACCCCGAGCCACACCTCAGTCCATCTCTCGCCCAACTCCAGCCTTGAACCAGGGGGGCGGGGCTGCGGTGGGCGGGGATTCAGGGCAAGGCCTCGCCCACTTGGGAAGGACAGGATCCAAGGACAGGATGGTGCCCAACCCACCCCTTAATCCCATCCCACCTCAATACCAGGGATGGGCCCGCCAGGGGCGGTCACAAGCCTGCCCACGCCCAGACTCCTGGGCCCCCTGACTCAGGCCCTGAGTCACCCAGAACCAGGGAGACATACGGGGGTAACTGGGGAGGGCAGAGGGTCCCTCCCACTACCGCTGACACCTTATCCCCAGGGGAACGCCCACTGACTGACGTCACTCGTGGACAGTGTCATTCACCAGGGTGTCCAATCGCCGTGGCCTAGGACCGGCCCGGGCAGAGGGCTCAGAGCACTGATGTAGGGCTTTGCTGATGGGGACCCCAGCTCCATGCCAGGCTCTGCTCCATCCGGACCCCTCTAGGAGAGACCCACCAGCACCGGGAGTGGCCACCACCTCTCTGTCCCCACCGACATCAGCACTGGGAAGGGCCCCTGAGCCCTGCTGGGTGTCCCAAGAAAAATACCCATGGGGTGTCCCAAGAAAAATGCCCATGATAACTCAAGAGCACCCCAGTGGCTAGTTTTTTCTTTTGGGTGTTGGTTTCAGGGCCACACCTGGTGTTGCTCAGGGGTGTCTCCTGGCTCTGCACCCAGGAATCACTCGTGGCAGACTCAGTGGATCCTACGGGATGCCGGGGACCGTAGGAGGGTCACCCCATTGCCAGGCAAACACCCTGCCCATTGTATTGTCACCCCACCCCGCTAGCTGTATCTTGTCCACAGCAAAAGAAAACCGTGGAGGGTCAGAAAAATAGGGCAGAGAGTAAGGAGTTTGCCTTGCACATGGCAGACCAGGGTTCGATTCCTGGTACCCCAGAGGATTGCCTGAGCCCCAGAAGGAGCGATTCCTGCACGCAGACCCAGGAGTAAACCCTGAGCACCACGGGATGTAACACCCCCACCCTCCCCCCAAATAAAAGAAACTGTAAAGGATGCATGGTGGGGGACTGGGGTGGGGGTGGGGACAGCCTGAACTCATGGGACTCCAGAACCCGCCAACCACCAATTGTTCCCCTTGCCTTGGTCCTGACCCTGCCAGCCTGACCATCAGTGAGTGCCCCCTCTACAAGAGGAAGGATATACAGATGCCTGAGGATGGATGGCTGCACTCTGGGGCCACACACTCACGGCACCCAGGTCACATCTGTCAGCTCTGCCACTCGTCACCCCAGATCTGAAGGCAGACGCGACACGGCCGGGTCCCTGTGAAGGGCGGCGTGGTTCCCAGGGAGCAAGGTGGATGCGAACACACAGTCAGAGGCAGACGGGTGGGGGGGGGGGGAAGAGCCGCGGGGGGGGGGGGTATCATTATCTGTCTCCATGACTCAAACCCCGTCATCCGGAACTGGCCATTAAAGTTCCAGCAGACACAGGCTGCCCCCCCACAAACACAGTGTGTCTGAACAGGGCCGTGGGAGGGTTCAGGGAAAAGAGTTCTCAGAGGAGGTACCCCCCCCCCGAAAAAAAAAATCAGGCTGAGCAAATATTTCCAGTGTCCCAAATTGAGTCCTACTGGATGAGGAGACCGGGGTGGGGGAACCTCCTTTTTCAGGGGGAATGGACGAAGGATTCCTAACTCCAAGTATTACACATATTATTGGGGGCTCAACTGACTTTTACATCTAAATGCTGACACACCCATTTTATTATATATATATATATATCCCATTCTATCCCATAATTTTTTTTTATTTTTGGGTCACACCCAGCAATGCTCAGGGGTTCCTCCTGGCTCTGCACTCAGGAATTACTCCTGGCGGTGCTCAGGGGACCATGTGGGACGCCGGGGCTTGAACCTGGGTCGGCCGTGTGGAAGGCAAACGCCCTACCCGCTGTGTTATCGCTCTGGCCCCCTATTCCATAAATTTGATCCTTTAAAAAACTGGGGGGTCCAACCCAGCAATGCCCAGGGCTTACTCCTGACAGGGCTCAGGGGAGCCTATGGGATGCCGGGGATCGAACCTGGTTCAGCCACGTGCCAGCAAGCATCCTTCCCGCTGTCCTATCACTGTGGACCCTGTATGTTGTTTTGATTTGGGGGGTGCTATGCCCTGTGGACTCACATGGTCCCAGAGATGAAACCAGGGTCCCCACTTGCTCAGTCTAAGTTCCTGCTCTTTGAGGGCTCCTTGTCCCTGCACACACAAACACACACACACACACACCTGCGCTCTCCGCCCCTCCCCCGCCCCAGCCCCTGCAGTAACCTGT